GGATTCGGAAGAGGAGGAGACAGAAGAGCAATAGCTATTCATTCAGTTCATCCCATTTATTCACGCCTTCATCGGCACCGACAAACTTCATTGTGTTCTCGGAAGTGACCCTTTCAACGACGCTGTAAGGCAGGTTCAGCTTCCAGAGGGAGGCTGGACAAAAGGAGACTAACAGGTAGTTGTCAGTCGCTTGCTGAGTGCGAGGCTCTATGCTAAATGCCCTGGAAGGATGCCAGGAACGCATTTTACCTACAACCCAGTGGGGACAGGTAAGGGCCTACCAGACCCGGTGAGCACAGGCGAGTCCATGCGGGATTGGGCAGACAAGGAGAGAATCCCACTGGGAAAGAGGCTGTGCAGCCGCCCACTGTTCATTTATTGCGGAAGGAGCGAGGGTAAGGACTGAGGGGAGGAGAGGGGATGCTCTGCAGGAGCTGTGTTCCCTAAAGATTCCTGCCTATCAGTTTCAGGGCAGGTCAAAGACATCGCGGTTGTTTTATGTCAATGAAATGCCTGGAGACTTCTTTGAAACCAGTAGACATATGAAAAATAATAATACGCATCCCACTATGGGGGAGACTGCACCTTGCATTGGCTACTGGTTGAAGGCACGGAGGGCACTCATTGAATGTCATAACTTAAAATAATAGCAGCTCTTCTTTTAAGCCAACTGCTTCTGGGTAATGGGGCATGTGTTCGTCTGCTGTTGCAACCATAAAGCTGTGTAACAAAATGCTGCAGAACTCAGAGGCAGCACAGCAATCAATTTTTTCTCCCTCATGCATCTAGGGGTCAGTTGATCTGGGCTGAGTTCAGCTGGGTTTGGCTCAAGCTGCAGAGTCTCACCTTCCTTGGACCAGTGGATTCGATTGGGGTCTGTTCTTATGATGATGGCAGAAGCAAGAAAACAAGTTCATGCCAAAACCAGTTTGGCTCAGTGGACAGAGCACAGCCTGCGGACTGAAAGGCCCTGGGTTCGATTCCGGTCAAGGGCATGTACCTTGGTTGCGGGCACATCCCCAGTGGGGGTGTGCAAGAGTCAACTGATCAATGATGATTCTCTCTCATCGATGTTTTTAACTCTCTATCCCTCTCTCTTCCTCTCTGTAAAAAATCAATAAAATATATTTGAAAAAAGAAAGAAAGAAAATAAGTTCAGCCAAAACCGGTTTGGCTCAGTGGATAGAGCGTTGGCCTGTGGACCGAAAGGTCCCCGGTTCGATTCCAGTCAAGGGCATGTACCTTGGTTGCAGGCACATCCCCAGTAGGGGGTGTGCAAGGGGCAGCTGATTAATTCTTCTCTCTCATCGATGTTTCTAACTCTCTATCCCTCTCTCTTCCTCTCTGTATAAATTCAATAAAATATATTTATTTATTTTTTAAATATTTTTATTGATTTTTTTACAGAGAGGAAGGGAGAGAGATAGAGAGCTAGAAACATCGATGAGAGAGAAACATCGACCAGCTGCCTCTTGCACACCCCCCACTGGGGATGTGCCCGCAACCAATGTACATGCCCTTGACCAGAATCGAACCTGGGACCCTTCAGTCCGCAGACCGACGCTCTACCACTGAGCCAAACCGGTTTCGGCATAAATTCAATAAAATATATTTAAAAAAATAAAAAAGTTCAACTATACAAGCACAGTTGAAAACTTTCATTGCGTCACATATCCTAAGTTCAAAGACAATCCACATGGTCAAAAATTACATAAATGAAGCAGAGAATTATATTTCTCCCATGTAAGAAAGGGGAGCATGTGTGAACATTTTAAATAATAACCTAATTTAACGCAAGGCCCATGATTAGACCAGTGAACTTCACAGGTGTGAGCCCATCGTTATACTTCCCTCACTGAAACGTGTGTCCTGGCTGGAGAAGATATTATGTACATGGAGATGGACGCAGGTGTTGGTGCTGCAGGCAGGGCGGGCACACCTCTACATGGACTATGCACTTGAGAAGCATGTTATTGCATCCTCCTCTAAGGGCCTAATGTAAAAAATCCACCCGCCACCAGATGGCCATCTGGTTCCCCTAAAGATTGGTGTCCTATCAGGTCCTCAAAGTTGGCTTCTGCTGTTGGCCGGTGGGTGCTCTGCAGTGGCAGCAGCCCGCCAGATCAGCCTGATGAAGGGCAGTCCATGAGGTCAGAGCCATGCATAACCTCCATCCTGGTACTATAGCCACTTTGCACGTGGTTTCTTTGATCAAACACTGGGGTGTTTGGGGGCAGAGGCCAATGTCCACAGATTACAGAGACCCGCTCCATGTTGAATGCCTTCTAATGGACATTGACATGGGACAATACATCCAATTTTGTGGATCGGGTAAAACTAAACTCATGACGGGCCGTTGGAATGCCAGTCTTTTATTGCTACCTGACAGGAGCTGCAGCCAGCCTGCCACGAGGGAGCTGGGGTAATAAGTGCCAACTTCCCCACCTCCCTCTACTCTTCCACCAGTGCCCCAGGGTAGTATGAGACCAGACGCAGAGAGCCCACTGATGTGGTCCACAGAAGCCACGTCTAGAGGCCCAGGACAGGATGGAGAGGAGAAATTCATCTGGATGGGCTGTGGTAGGCAGCCTCTAAGATGGTTCCCACTGAGCTCTACCTCCTGGTTTTCACCCCTGTGTAATCCTTTGTCATGTTGCACTAGGGTTGGTCTTTGTGGCTTGTAGACTGTAGCAGAAATGATGAAATGCCACTTTACCTATTAGGTTGCCGTAGTAGGCAACTAGGATGGCCCCCATGACCCCTGCCTCCTAATATGCATGCCCTGGTTTAAAATCCTTTCTTGGAGTGCTGGCTGGACCAAGTGACTCGATTCTAATGACGAGGACATCGCAAAGTGATGGGATGTCACTTCTAAGAGTTGGCTGCAAGAGACCGACTTCCATCTTGATTGCACTCTCTCTTGCCGTCTTGCTTGCTCTGATGAGGCAAGCTGCCATGTGGAGAACCCCACACAGCAAGGGACTGAGGGAGACCTCTGGCTAACAGCCCATTAGGAACTGATTCCTGCCAACATCCACTTGAGTGAGCATGGAAAAAGATCTACCCCAGGTGAGACTTAAAAATCTTAAATTTCAATGATTGCAATCCCAGCTGACACCTTGATTGGAGTCTTTTGAGAGACCCTGAGCCAGAACCTCCAGCTAAGCCACTCCTGAATTCCCGACTCTCTGAAAGTATGAGTCATAAATGTTTGTTGCCTTAAGGTCCTAAAGTTTGGGGTAATTGTTTTGTAGTAATAGATAACTGATATGTGAACAAGCAAAAAAAAAAAAAAAAAAAGAAAGAAAAGAAAATCAGGAAGGATGGAAGGAGGAAAAATCTATGAAATCAAGTGAAATATTATTGAAGAAAAGTATTTGGTTCATATTCTTAATAGACTCTGAACATGTGTAAAGAGTTATTTTTACACTTTTTTATGTTTTCTTTGACTCAAGGACAAACTCTGGTATTTCAGTAAGTTGAGAATATTAAAAGGCAGAATCAAAATTCCAACCAGGTTTAAAGCCCTAGTTCTTTTCACAACATTATTATGCCTCCCTATGGTGATCCTTAAAACTTTAAATAAAAATATACCACAGCCCTGGCCAGTGAGTCTCAGTTGGTATACACACACACACTGAGTGATCTCTGAACATAATAATCTGACCACTCAGTGTGTGTGTGTGTGTGTATATATACACATATATATATATATATATGTATTTTAGAGGCCTGGTGCATGAATTCATGCATGGGTGGAGTCTGGCCAGGGGGAGGGGACACGGGCAGTGGAACTGCTGGTCAAAGGGACAATTTGCACTTTAGCCTTTTATTATATAGGATATACACTGAGTGGCATGATTATTATGCGTTCAGATATACCATTGTCCAAATCATAAGTACAGAAGTATGTTCATTAATTTAAATTAGGAAATTAAAGTGGCAATGCACGTGAGCAAGGACTACTCTCATCTAAGTTCCTCACACCCACCCCCACCCCACCTCATGGCTGGTGCTCAATACATCTAATGAGGAAGAAACTAAGGGTTCCTTTGATTTTTATTAAATTCAGTTTTAAATCCTAACTAAAAATCCTCTCTCTACCCCTTAGAGACCCAGACTTTCCCCCAGATAACCAGCAATCCGGAGGCAGCAGAAGACAGTAATAGCTGGGCCTTGAGTATTGGTCACACAGCCCAGACCTCTGGCAGCCCAAAGGTAACATCGTGTTTCCGGAGCCTTAAGGTGGAACAACCCTCTGGCTACTTTCTCATGAGCCCAGACCAAGCGACCCTGAGAAGTTCCTCAGTGAAGTCTTCACCTCTCCCCCACCTCTCACCAATCAGCTCCCGACCGGACCCCAAGTCCCTCGCTCATAGTGTCTTGTGATTTCGCCCTACAGCCACCGAGTGTGGCTTTGAGCATTTGCTTCCTGCCTCCGTATGGGTCAATTCAATGTTAAACTCTATTTCCTTTTTATGCTGCAAACTCCTGCTCGTGCATTTCTTTGGGGCAGTGTGTGCAGACAGGCAGGCTCAAAGGAAAAACCAGTCAAGTTCTGGAAACAAAGACACTAATTCCACAAGCAAGTCCACGTCTGGGGAGGTGGATCGGAAGCTGCGTCTGTTTCCCAGAGGGCCCTGGGAATTGCAAAGTTCGCCTGAGAAAGGAGAAAGGAGGGAGGAGGAGACGGAAGGGAACGCAACTGGTCACCCCAGCTGAGTCCGACGGAACAGGAGTCCCGGAAGTCGGAGTACAGGGGGCGGGGCCAATCAGGGGGCGGGGCGCCGGGCTGACCGGAAGTGACTTCTGCCCGGTCAAAAGATGGCGGCCATAGCCACGCTTGCCCTTGGTCGCCTATCCTCCTGTAACCAATGGCGCCGCGATGCTCGGGTGACTCATTGGGGCGACCTAGGCACGACGTTATATGATGCAACGTAGGAGTCGAGGAAGCCGCCGGTGCACGTTGCGGTGACCAGGCGGCGGCGTGTGGGGAGCTGATGTCCTTGGAGGTGACCCGGGCGACCGCAGGGATGGTGCTAGGTGAGTGCGGCTCTGGGACCCCCCGGGCGGGCAGGGGGCGCGTCGCCTCTGCCCGGGGCGGGAGCCTCCTGAGGCCGATGACCAGCCCTTGCAGGTGGCCTGGCGCTGAGTGGGCGTGCCCCCACCCTTCGGACCTGAAGGAAGGCAGGGAGGGTGTGCAGGGCCTGGGCTCGCCCCGGCCTCCCTCCAGCCCTCTGGGCCCCGGGCCTGGTATGGCGGCCGCCCCGCCCTGCCCCCCTGTCGGACCCCAGGGGACCCTTCATCGGCGTCCCTCTTCCAAGGGATCGTCAGGAAGGGCCTTTGGAATTGGAACCCTCTTTCTCAGTCCCCATTTGTGCTGAGGTTCCCCGGCCTTCCATACGGAGCAGTAGGAAGGGGAAAAGCAGACCTGGGTCCCTAGCAGACTTCCTTCTGCAACGTGTCTCACCTCAGGGCTTCGGCTTCCTAAAGAGACCAGAAGGAGCTAGTATTTGTTTGACATCTGGGCACCGACCCTGGGTACCTGATTTGAATGGGTGACTTTATTTCGTCCTCAATGTAGCCTTCAAGGTGGGCGTTGTTTTCCCCTATTTTGTAGTCAAGGAAATACCCTTGGAAAGTTAAGTGAATTCCCTAGGGCCACCCTTGCTATGAAGAAGGCACAACATCCCAGGATTCCAGGCTGGTCTAGCCAACCTCACAGCCCGTCTTTGTCACTGGGAACTCGCAGAGATGGAAGCAGGGTCACAGATTATTCAAGTGGCCAAAGTTCATGAGATGGATGTCACTGAAATAGGGGCCTGGGAAAATCATTTTCTTTTGGGCTGTGGCAGTGTTTTACTATAGTGAATCAGCTGCTTGTTCTGTTCGCAGAAATAAAGAGTGGATGAAGTAGTTGCAGTATGAGATGACGGATAATTATTGTCCAAATATGTAACCTGTTCTCACTTTGTAAAACAGCAGAGCTATACGTCTCGGATCGAGAGGGAAATGATGTGACAGGCGATGGCACCAAGGAGAAACCTTTTAAAACCGGCCTAAAGGTAGTGTCTCCTCTCACAGCAGAACAGCTTTGTGTTTATGAATGACTTAGGTCAGTTATTACATGTCTTGTCAATAATTTATTTCAAGCACTGGGTTTTGAAGAGCGTTTTCAGAAAAAGGAAAAAGATTGTGTATAGAAATGTAGCTTTAACAGTATTAGATCTAAGTCTAAACTTATTTGAACATTTTAAAAATGTCTTTATTCCTTATATTGCATTGCATTTTGGAATGTGTCTCTCCGATGAGTCAGATGGCCAGTTTTTTCAGTTCTTGTTGAAATAATATTCAGCTTCAGGTTAAGGTGTGGGTCAAGACATCCCTCCTTAAGTAGCTGTGGGTTTGCCTGTTGAACTGAAATCTCTGCTCCTGCCAGGTAATGAAATGTTAAAGCTCCCTCCTTAGACGTGCTAGGAAAAGCTCTGCCCTGACACTTCTTTTCTGTGTCCATATCTGGCCAATCCCTTTTTGTGTTCTATGTTACAGCACTTATTTAGGTTATTATCAAGTGTTCCTCTCCCGGGAGCATTCTCTCCAGTTATGCTTTGGTGTGTCATACATAGTTCTTTTTAACTCTTAGGAAAAAATATTTCTCTTATTTTTGCGCTGTTGGGGTGACTTGAGTTCCCCAAACTGATGACACAGTTTAGGGAATGTTTGCAGAATGTCATTGTTAGCAAAAGCATGCCATTCTGATTTGGGGAATTACAGTTTAGCTACTTCAATTTCAGTGATACAAAAGGAGTGATCAGTAGAGAGTGTCAGGTATTAAGTGAATTCCTAATGACTTGCAAACATCCCTACAAAGTCTGATGGTTAAAAACATGAGTTCTTGGGTGTTTTTTAAAAGGGCCAGGTTTCCCCCTCCTCTGTACCAGTCATTGAGTTGGAACTGCTGTTAAAACTAGAGGAAAGGTGTTTTTTAGGTTTGGAAACTATACTTTTAGAAAGCTTTTTGTAAGCTTTAGATCTTATGAGTGGAGAGTAATTCCTTACAATTATTTCTTGATTGACTTAACAACTTGGGAGAAAACTTGAAGTAGTTAATACAACATTTATCTTTTATATACTTTCAACTACTTTTAAAAAAAGAATATGAATGATAAAATCCTATATAATAAAAAGCTAATATTCAAATTCTCAACCCAGAGTTTGACCAGGAGATGGGGCCAGCCAGCCAACTGACCCACAGCCCCTCCACCTGGTGGGTCCCCACCCGTGCACGAATTCGTGCACCAGGCCTCTAGTATTCAATAACATCATAGCGGATTGTTCCAGTATTAGTGAAAGAGATACTCTACATGAGAGTAATTTTTGAAATTAAACGAAACTTAGCCCTTTGTATTCTTAGCCATTATTTTGTTGCTAGAGTTTCAGAATTGGCTTATCTGTTCCTTATCCAGGATTAATCATTTAGATGTGAATTATAGCTGGCTTTTGCTATCTGTCTCCTCTGTTGTCAGGATGACTCCCTCTGGCCTCTTATGCCACTTAAAATCTGTTGCTTCTAGTCTACTTGTAGCTGGGAAACTATACTATTCAACTGAACTTGCTAAAATTTTGCAAAAGGACCCAAGCGGTTAAAAAAAAAAATGTTCTTAGTACTTCAACCAGTCAATATATATCAATACTGACTTTCAACTCTTGGGAATCTCTTGGCTGTTGATTATGTCCTAGACCAGTGGTCGGCAAACCAAGGCTCTTTGGCTCCTTGAATCTGACTCTTCCACAAAATACCATGTGTGGGCGTGCACGTACAGTGCAATCGAAACTTCGTGGCCCATGTGCAGAAGTCCATTTTCGGCCTGGGAGAGTCTATTTTTAAGAAGAAGCATTAGAACACTCAAGAGGCCAAAGAGCCGCAGTTTGCCGACCACTATCCTAGACGGTTAAAGTTGCCTCATAATTAAGGTGTTATTTTGATCTCAGATATTGTATATTGTACAATGTTAAGCTATTATTTTTTTTTTTCTCTCTTCCCATCCAAGGCTTTGATGACAGTGGGAAAAGAACCATTTCCTACCATTTACGTAGATTCACAAAAAGAAAATGAGGTAGGGTGAACGAAAACCTTTACAGAATTTTATTTTCTGAATATTCATCAGAATATAGAGGTCTTGAAAAACTAAATGTCTGTTCTTCTCTCTAGCGGTGGGATGTTATTTCTAAATCACAGATGAAGAACATTAGGAAAATGTGGCATAGGGAACAAATGAAGAGTGAATCCCGGGAAAAGAAAGAGGTGAGCAGTGAATTCACAACTGAGAACATTTGAAAAGTTAGAACACTAGGAACCGTGTTAACAAACTGCTCTATCATTAAAATTAGGCAGAAGACAATTTGAGAAGAGAAAAGAACCTGGAAGAAGCAAAGAAGATTACCATTGAAAACGATCCAAGTCTTCCAGAGCCGAAATGTGTAAGTGTGACCTGTATTGTCACAAACACAGCAAACTTACTTCTGTGTCTGAGGGCCCTGCCGCGGGTTTGTTCCTTTGCATTGTCAGTCTTTCCTTTCCTTTATTTAGAAGAAGGAATAGAGAAAAATAATGTTTTAGAGTTTTGCAACTGGTGGTTCTTTTGGGGTTCATTTTCTCTTTATTTTTAAATATTTTTACTAATTTCAGAGATGAAGGGAGAGGGAGAGAGAGAAAAACTTCAATGATGAGAGGGAATTATTGATCGGCTGACTCCTGCAAGCCCTGCATTGGGAATCAAGTCCACAACCAGGGCATGTGCCCTGACCAGGAATCGAACTGTGACCTCGTGGGTCGTAGGTTGATGTTTAACAATTGAGCCATGCCAGTCAGAGAGGATTTTTTAAATAACAAAGTTTTGTGATTTTATGAAATTGGATTCCTTCTCTATTCTTTCTAGAACAGAATGCTGGCCTGTGAGTGGGCATATGTAGATTTCAGATAGTTCTGATCGCTAATGAACTGCCATATTTTCCCTGTTTATTTAGTGAGAAAGCTGTTTACTTGGTTGTATTCCCTATCCCTTTTACTCATTGTCTCTATTCTCCTTCATCCCCCAAACAAAAAGCTAGCTAGCCTTTGTTAACTTCTACCTCCCAGAATGTCTGGAGGGACTGTGAGGTCAGAGAAAGGGCTCAGTGTAGATTTGGGTTTTTGCTATTGTGAGTTCATTTACTCGCCGATTTTCTGTAGCCATAGCTAAAATTCTGGGTATTTCTCACAGTTGGCTTTGCACTAAGAGAAAGAAGACTCAGGTGTTTTTTTAACTACTAAGTATAGTGAAATTTTTTGGTTCTAGCCTGCACTAGAATTAATAATCTGTAGTTTTGCACCATTTTTGTAATTTTATCACTTTACTGTTATCCATCTAATATTTGTGAAAAATTGATATGTGATAAATGACAGTTAATGAAATGTTTATTTTAATTTGACAGGTGAAGATTCACGCATTAGAAGGATATAGAGGCCAAAGAGTTAAAGTGTTTGGCTGGGTGCACAGGCTGCGGAGGCAAGGTAAATGGCATAGCTTTCCTTTTCTCTCTTTTACTTTTAAATATACCTGGTCTTAGATGAAGAGTAATATAAAAACATTTACTTGGAAATATTTTGATTTTTGGATGCTAGCTTTTTAAAGGAGATAATGACATATCCTAAATTTGTTCTTATTCAATATGACTATTAAAAGTTTAAAAAAAATTAAATGCTATTTAACTGTAAGCAATCACAGTGATCAGAAGTTGTCCAATAAATATTTGTGTAGTTGAACTTAGTTTTTTAATGAAAAGCAGGAAGTAGAGAGCCAAATCTGAAACTGATGGTAGTACTCATGACACTTATGATTAGTATATTTGCATTCTACTTCTCCTGATATTTTGCTTTTGCTTTCTCTTTTTATTACTTTATTACTTGTGTTTTATTGTAAGTGGTTATCAAATCCTTCCTAAAAAGAAATGGGACAATTGAGCCGGTGGCTCAATTGGCTGAGCGTCATCCTGAAACCAGGTATCGGGTCGATTCCTGATCAGCACATTCCTACTCCGAGCGCATAGAAGAGGCAACCGATCAATGTTCTCACATCGATGCTTTTCTCTCTTTTTCTCTTCTAACAACATATCCTCGGGTGAAGATTCATTTAAAAAGGGAGAGACGTGCCGGGACTGGTTTGGCTCAATGGATAGAGCGTCGGCTTGGGGACTGAAGGGTCCCGGGTTCGATTCCGGTCAAGGGCATGTACCTTGGTTGCTGGCATATCCCCAGTAGGGGGTGTGCAAGAGGCAGCTGATCGATGACTCTCTCATCGATGTTTCTAACTCTCTGTCTCTCTCCCTTCCTCTCTGTATAAAATCAATAAAATATATTTTTTTTAAAAAGGGAGAGACATAAATAAGAAAAAAATGATTCTCTACCACAGTCTTTCTGCACCTCGCACAGAGTGCAGGGTCAGTTGGGCATTATTGGGGCATCGGTGGCTAATAGGACTAATCCCTCATCTCATGTTGCTTACTATTTGCTTTCCCATGGACCCGTGGGTCATGAGGATCACATCTGATTTGAAAGTACAATTAAGAAGATAACATGCTTTACAAACACTGAGTAGTGATAGAACCAGTGACACTTCAGAGAAGGGCAGCCCCTGGAGGTCTGGACTTTCAATACATTTCTTCTTTCTCACTTTCAGGAAAGAACTTAATGTTTCTGGTGTTGCGGGATGGTACAGGGTATCTTCAGTGTGTCTTGTCAGATGATTTGGTAAATATTTTCTCTTGTGGCTAAAATTTTAATTTTTTCAGTAGCTTGCTTTATTGTTAGTTTTTGGAATTTTAACTATTATTATGGAAAACATTTATTTGTTGTGGAAAAACTGGTTGTTTGTCCTGTTGTCCTGTGGAATTCCTCTGAATTTGGTCAATTTTATAAGCTAGATGTTAAGTCTACTCATATATCTACATGTATAATTTACATATGTATTGTATATGTAGATATATAGATATTTGGCACCACTATTTCATGGGCAGAGCTCTTCCAATTGCATATTGTGAAACACATAATATCTGGTTGGTGTTGTGTGTGTGAGTGTGTGTGTTTGAATTATGGACTCAGGTGTTGATAGCCTAGTCCCTCCTTCCATTATAAAGTTCCCCATCACTTTTCTCCTAATGATTTTAACAAGTATTGGTTATATTGTTAACCAATAGCTCATATTGACTCTGTATTATTTTAACAGTCTGAATACCAATAAAAATGAATTTTTCAAATATTTTTAAGAGATGTGGGCTACTGTCATTTATGCCTATGAATGTATGTAAAGTATCTATTTACATAAAAATGAGTATATTTATATAGAGATAAGTCTTTTATAAAAATAGCTATTCTTTACTAATATTAAAAATTGATGTCCATCTTATTTTACTAGTTTGGACCAGATAATTTGTTTATAAATAATTCCCTTTGCTTTCTATACATTAGGATATTTTAATGTAAATGTGAATAACTAAGTTTGAACTTGATCTTTTTATAGTGCCAGTGTTACAATGGAGTAGTCTTGTCCACTGAGAGTAGTGTTGCAGTGTACGGAATGCTAAATCTTACTCCAAAGGGCAAGCAGGTGAGTGGCTTGACTTTCTCACTGGGTGAATTAGCTGTTTGTTTTCCAATTTGTAGTTTTGGTATTTGACATATAAATACACAAATATGATGCAGTTGCTAAATTTAGTATGCCTTTTCCTTTTCCAGTAAAATCCTACTATACAGATGTGACAAACTTGGGGATTCCAACCTTATAGAATTCCTGAGTAATCCTCATAGGCCAAAATGTAGCCACTTTGCTGTGAGTGTGTGAATAACTTTTCAGCGAGGTGGAAATAAAAACTTCATCCAAGAAATTTCAGGAAATAACAGTAATCTAAATCTGAAAATTTCTGGATTGAATTTGAGAGCATCTTTAAAAAGTTAAATATAATTGATATGCAAAAAGATGTTTGTTTCCTAGCCAACAGGCACATAACCTGTACCAGTTATATTTATTTGTTAGTAATTATTGTTCAAATAACTACTGCAATTATATTCCTTGGCTGGTAAAGAAAACAAAGGTGACATACTAACCACCAGAGGGAGCCCTTAGAGTCTACCTAATAAACTAGAAATACTTATAAAAGAGAGTCAGAGCTCTTGTAAAAGAAGAACCTGTATTTAGAGTGAATATCTGACCCACCTTCCTTGGATTTTCCTTGGAATTAATTGGAAATGGAATGATTGTTTTGATGTTACTTGCTGTCCGGTGTTTGGCATGGAGAAAATTATGTATTCCTTAATTGATGGCTTCTAAAATGAATTGTTTTTAATGGAATTATCAGGGAGAATTTGAACTTTTACTATATATATGTTCCAAGGAGAAAGAGCGTGTAGTAAAATTTTTACATCTAAAGAGTTTTTCAGCCGAAATTGCTTTGGCTTAGTGGATAGAGTGTTGGCTTGCAGACTGAAAGGTCCCAGGTTCGATTCTGGTCAAGGGCATGTACCTTGGTTGTGGGCACCTCCCGATGTGGGGTGTGCAGGAGGCAGCTGATCGATGTTTCTTTCTCATCGATGTTTCTAACTCTCTATCCTTTTCCCTTTCTCTCTGTAAAAAATCAATAAAATACATTTTTAAAAAATATATATTTTTTTAAAAAGTTTTTCAAAGTGAGTATTGTGTTACTTTCAATTATTGGTAAAGTCTAAAAAGATATACCAAAATGTTAATAGTTAGTAGTTATTCCAAGTTGTGGAATTGTAGTTTTATTTTTTACTTTGTGCTTTCTAATTTTTAAAAAATTTGTATGTGAATTAACTCTGAAAGGAATATTAAATATATCAGTATAAAATTGAATTATTGGGTCAGTTAGAAGGGTAGGCTAATAATGATGAGATTTTTAGAAATATCAGCTTACCAAAAAATTTTGAAACCAAGTAAAAACTCAAAGTTTTTGTTGTACAACAGCCAGTAAGTTGAGTTGGGGTAAGGAAAGCAACTTTATTCAGAAGCCAGCAAGCAGAGGAGAAAGCAGACTAGCAGTTAGATGCTCTATCAACTAGGGCTCCTATAAATTTTTTTTATAAACTTTTTTTTTGACTGATGTAGCTTATGTCTTTTTATTAATTAATTAATTTATTTATTTAATATATTTTATTGATTTTTTTTTTTTTTTTGCATACTTTCCTTATCTGGGGAAGTGGCAGCAGGGAGGTTGTTTCAGTTATGTCTAGGCTACCGGTTGGATCCTTGAATGATGAGCATATCTGTGTGCAGAACTAAGCAGGAGACTAACCCATATGTCATGGGACCTGGCATGTTCGAGCAATGTGGAGTCAGACAGATTATTTGAATCTATAACATTTTGACATAAGTTAAAATCTTTACTACTACTGTAAATTTTTTGTTTTATTCTTCTTTCCTTTCATCCCTCCCCTCCTTTTTTTAAAATGTAGGCTCCTGGGGGCCATGAGCTGAGTTGTGATTTCTGGGAACTGATCGGCTTGGCCCCTGCTGGAGGAGCTGATAACTTGATCAACGAAGAGTCTGACGTTGATGTCCAGCTCAACAACAGACACATGATGATCCGAGGAGAAAACATGTCCAAAATCCTGAAAGCACGCTCCATGGTCACCAGGTGCTTTAGAGATCACTTCTTTGATAGGGGGTACTGTGAAGTAAGTGTGCACTCATCTTTTGCAAATAATACCTTTGGCCATTCTTCAGCTTGAATAGAGGTGCTCACAGTAGGCTTTCTTTACTCCATTTGAACAGGTCACTCCTCCAACATTAGTGCAAACTCAAGTAGAAGGTGGTGCTACACTCTTCAAGCTTGACTATTTTGGAGAAGAGGCATTTCTGACTCAGTCCTCTCAGTTGTACCTGGAGACCTGCATTCCAGCTCTGGGAGATGTTTTTTGTATTGCACAGTCATACAGGGCAGAACAATCCAGAACAAGAAGGCACCTGGCTGAGTATGAATTGACTTTTTATTTTTATTTTTAAAAATGTAAAACTAATTGTTTAGAAAAGCAACTTTTATGTAGTCAAACGATGCCTATGTAAATGTGTTGGTTTATTAAGAATATATATGAAGAGCAGTTGAATAAATTAATTGAAACCATGTAAGAAGTTTTGCCTCTTAGACCATAGCTAGTTAAGGCCTTCCTTTTACTTAGCCTTGATCCTTTATGTGTTAAGGAATAAACAAAAATTCATTATTTAAAGGAGAAAGGTAGATGTGTGCTAAAGCTAATTTGCAGAGTTAGCAAGGTTGGAATTTTACTTTTCTGGACAATTTCCCAATGTTAAAATCCTTGTATGAGAAATTTAGTAGAAATGAAGAGCAGCTCTGAGCTAGTGTCTCATTCTTCAGATACACTCACGTGGAGGCAGAGTGTCCTTTCCTGACCTTTGAGGAGCTCCTGAACCGGTTGGAGGACTTGGTTTGTGACGTGGTAGATAGAGTCTTGAAATCACCCGCAGCAAGCATAGTGTATGACCTCAATCCGGTAGGTCTAGTGTTTTATGGAAATACAAAATTATGATTTTTGGAACGGAATGTTGTTTTCACCTGCAGTATCTATAGAATAAATGGGTTTGCAAGCTTTGAAATAAGTGACTAATAATTGCCATTTTTCCACGCTACTTCAAAAGGCAACTAACCAAGAATGTGCAAACAGCTTCAAACATAAATGTACATACACAAAGAAGAGATAAGATCATCTGTGCCTTTGTTTTTGTTAGGGACACATTAACTGGCCTATGTAATAAGCAACATAGTTGGTGCTCAGTGACTGCTGCGTTTCAGTAAAAGTGGAATCGCCTTTGGAAATAACAACAATATATAATTTCACACCAGTGGTTTAGGGAATAATGAGTTTGCTGGAGTTAGTTTATACTCTCATGTATATTACCACAAAGATCCCAGTTTAACTGAAATGGATATAACCACCAGTAGTCGGTTCCATTCACCTCCCTCTCAATCAGAGCCCTGCAGAATGTTTGAAACCTCTTTTATCTAATGCTTTAAAAAAAAAAAATTAATTTTTTTTTATTAAATTATTATCTGTGTACATATTTTAACATTGCCCCCCCCCCATACATACCCTCCCTCCCTAGAGTTTTGTGTCCATTGGTTGTACTTATATGCATGTATACAAGTCCTTTGGTTGATCTCTTATCTCCCCCAGATCTCCCTACCCTCCCCGCTGTAATTTGACAGTCTACTTGTTGCTTTACTGTCTTTATATCTGTCTTTTGGTTCATCAGTTTATAATGTTCTTTGATATCCATAAATGAGTGAGGACATGTGGTATTTCTCTTTCAGTGATTGGCTTATTTCACTCAGCATGATGTTCTCCAATTCCATCCAGGTTGCTGCAAATGAGAATTCCTTCTTTTTTATGGCAGCATAGTATTCCATTGTGTAGATGTACCATAGTTTTTGGATCCAATCATCTGCTGACGGGCACCTAGGCTCTTTCCAAATTCTAGCTATTGTAGATTGTGCTGCTATGAACATAGGGGTGCATATATCCTTTCTGATTGGTGTTTCTAGGTTCCTGGGATATATTCCTAGGAGTAGGATTACTGGGTCAAATGGGATTTCCATTTTCAGATTTTTGAGGAAACTCCATACTGTTCTCCAAGTGATTGCACCAGTTTGCATTCCCACCAGCAGTGCACAAGGGTTCCTTTTTCTCCGCAACCTCGCCAACACTTGTCGTTTGTTGATTTGTTGATGTTGGCTATTCTGACAGGTGTGAGATGGTACCGCATTGTTGTTTTGATTTGCATCTCTCGATCTAATGCTTTTTTGACATCCTCTCAGGGGAGTACTTTAAAAGTGGAAGCATTTAAAATTATTTTTATATTCATGCATTAAAAAAATAATTGTCAGTAATTTCATAACATTTTAACTTAGGAGGAAGTTCATATGTCTTTGTTTTTAGGAATATCCATATTGATTTTTAGTCTGAAATAATATTTTACAATGGTACTAAGTAGTTTTTCTTAAAATGGAAATTTTAGTGTTAATGGTTTCTTTATATACATTGTATTTTTCCTTCTGTAGAACTTCAAGCCCCCCAAACGGCCTTTCAAACGGATGAACTATTCAGATGCTATTGTGTGGCTCAAAGAACACAATATAAAGAAAGAAGATGGAACTTTCTATGAATTTGGAGAGGTATGTATTTCTTTCTAATTGTTTCAAAAGTGGCAGTGTGCTTAAGTGGATTGCTACTTCTGTTTAATTAACCAGAGGTACAGGAGGCACCTGCTTGCCATCAAATCAATGGTAACTGAACCTTCTAGGTTAGCTGAGGGTTCATTGACTTAAGAGATGTAGGGTAAGCCTTAGAACAGTGCCTTACTGTAAAATTCAACAAATATTAGCAAGTTTTTCACTTTCACACCTCATCCATTGCCTCTTTTCTCTTCTTCCACGGTCAGTCATAAGCTTGGTTGTAATTCTCTAGGCTGGCAGGATGCCTCAGAAAGTTGTAAACTGTAAAATCCATGCAGAATGTTAGCATGTATATACATTTGTTTTGTTTGTCTGGAGAAAGTATCTGGCTTTGCAAAAAGGATCCCTCCCCTCAAAACAGTAAATCAAAATTTCTTCGTGTGAAGGGGATTCAAAGAAGAAAATAGCTGCTGGTTAAAATGCAAAACCAAGAGAAGCCTTGATACAGAAGGTGGCCTGGGGCCCCAGGTAAACTGAGTGGGTATCTGTTTGGGGTGTAGATATTTGTTAAATTTTTTTATTTATTGATTTGAGAGAGGGAGACATCAATTTGTTGTTCCACTTATTTATCAGTTCATTGGTTGAATCTTGTATGTGCCCAGATTGGGGATTGAACCCACAACTTTGGCATATTAGATAGCGCTCTAACCAACTGAGCTGCCAGGATGGGGTTATAAATTGTTAACACAAGTCTCAGCCCTCTTCCCTGTGCATTTAACCATTCCTTGCATAATATTTGCAAATCCTACTGTTCTACAGACGAAATGTAACTACTGCTAGCTAGAGGTTTGTTTTGTTTTTAGAAGGAATTTACAGAGAGGACAAACAGTAGACTTGACCAAGTAAATTACTCAATTTTTACTGGGACAGGAATTTTCATTGGAATTTATCTGTGGTTTACTAAAGGTTGTTTGAGAGAGAACAGTTTCATCATCATCTAACTAATCTTGGCTAACTATTCCAGGTGTGGTTACACTTAAAATTTGTCATTGGCTATTAGTCTTATGACAGTGTCTTACTATCATTGAAGGTACACAGATTTATTATTATAGAAAAGAAGTGCAGATACAAGGAGAGTTTAAAGATTATTGTTTTTTGTTTGCTTTTATTGACTTCACAGAGGAAGGGAGAGGGAAAAAGAGAATAGGAGTATCAATGATGAGAGAGAATCATTGATTGGCTGCCTCCTGCACATCCCACACTGGGGATCAAGCCCACAATCTGGGCCAGGAATCAAATGTGACTTCCAATTCATGTGTTGACGCTCAACCACTAGGCCACTCCAGCCAGACAAAAGATTGTTGTTATTACTAACATACACTGTGTGTATATCTGTGATGTTCTGGAGCATTCAATGATTATCATATGTCTTATGGTATGAAATAGACCAGGTCTGCTTCAGAGCTAAATAAAACTAGCCATTGACAAAAATGACTGAATAATATCTAGTCACACTGATAATAACTTGGGTGGGCTTTTTTGTTTTTTTTGTTTTTGGTGGGGGAGGTTTCATTCCTCAAGTAGCATGGCATGTGAGATATATTGTAGAAGGATGAAGATCATTTTATAGTTAATAACTGGGTTTTTTAAATATATGTATTTGTTTTTTAAAGAAATTGTTCCTTACTTTGTGTATCTGGGTGATGGTGAGTATGTATTCTTGTGTTGCATTAAGAAGAGGAAGGGTAGCTACTGGGTGAAAGAGCTGCTGCTTGTCTTATTGCATTTAGAGCTGTAAATGTTAATAAAGTCTTGTTCATCCTCAGGATATCCCAGAAGCTCCTGAGAGACTGATGACGGACACCATTAATGAGCCCATCTTGCTGTGTCGATTTCCTGTGGAGATCAAGTCCTTCTATATGCAGCGCTGTCCTGAGGATTCCCGCCTCACCGAATCTGTCAGTTGTGATTCGAATAGTATTAATAATTTTGCTTTTTAAGGGGGTGGAGACTGTTTTGGGGATAATATACAGCTCATGGCAAATACTTCATTATAAATCTAAAATAAAGAAGTTTATTTTTGTTCTCTAATGAATTTACTTGGTTTACTTACAGAATTTGAATATTTGCATTTTGCATGATCATAGTACTCCTTTAGCTATAGGAGCTTAATTGTGATTTTCTTGTTTTTATAAAATAGTATATTTTTATTGATTTCAGAGAGGAATGGAGAGGAAAAAAGAGATAGAAACATCAATGATGAGAGAGAATCATTGATTGGCTGCCTCCTGCCCACCCTTTACTGGGGATTGAACCCACAACCTGGGCATGTGCCCTTGACCAGAATTGAACATGGGACCCTTCAGTCCACAGGCCAGCACTATTACTGAGCCAAACTGGCAAAGGTTTTATTGTGATTTTCATTTAAAATATAGAGCAATGTCATGACTGATAGCCTGTTGTAACCGCATTTGATTTACTTGTTGTTAAAGGTCGACGTGTTGATGCCCAATGTTGGCGAGATTGTGGGAGGCTCCATGCGTATCTGGGATAGTGAAGAAATGCTGGCAGGTTATAAAAGGGAAGGAATTGACCCAACACCTTATTACTGGTACACAGATCAGGTAGAAACAATTTTTTAAATACTTCTTACATATTTTTTTATTGTGATAGTTTTGTATAAATTGAAATTTAAAAGGTGATGATTCAGGATGGAACTTTGGTATTTAAAGAGCTGTATTCAGTTTCATGATTATAATAATGTATTATGTGAATAGTGCTAGTTTTTTAGAAGGATGTATAATAATGTTTTATGTGAATAGTGCTAGTTTTGTAACCCCCCCAAAAAAAAAACAAAAAACAAAAAAACATTAGGCTTTGGCTAATAATATGTTAACTTCATTTGAAACCCTATTTAACTGCTGGCCTTGCTCATCGCTGCTGAGTATTTAAACATTTGTCAATGGATCCAATCAAATATCTAGAGCTATCTTTCAGTTTCTTCTTATAACCAATGACATTGACTTAGTTTTAAAGTTTGAAATCTCTTCTTTCCAAGGTAGCACTTAATCCCTGGTTTATTTTTCATATCAAATTATTTCTCCACATTTGTTCCATGAAAATATTTAGATTAAGGGTTGAATTCTTAACCACAATAAGCTAACTCATTTCACAGTAGATAATTTTTTTAAAAAAATATATTTTATTGATTTTTGTACAGAGAGGAAGGGAGAGAGAGATAGAGAGTTAAAAACATCAATGAGAGAGAGTCATCGATCAGCTGCCTCTTGCACACCCCCTACTGGAGATATGCCCGCAACCAAGGTACATGCCCTTGACCGGAATCGAACCTGGGACCTTTCAGTCCGCAGACCGACGCTCTACCACTGAGCCAAACCGGCTTCGGCTCACAGTAGATAATTTTAACTATGTTAGGAAAAACTGTAAACTAAGCATATTCTTCTCTCTCTCTCTCTCTCTCTCTCTTTTTTTTTTTTTAAACAGAGAAAATATGGCACCTGTCCTCATGGAGGCTATGGCTTGGGCTTGGAACGATTCTTGACCTGGATTCTGAATAGGTATCACATCCGAGATGTGTGCTTATACCCTCGCTTTGTCCAGCGCTGCAAGCCATAACCGGTGCCTCCTGCAGCACGAAGGCCAGCACACGGTTCCTGAGAGCAACAGACTGCCTCGTCCAAAAGAACAAAAAGCCAAGATCTTCCCTTTTTTACCCTATGGGGATGTGTCTGGTTCTGTTTTCTCCTTTTGTTTTTTTTTTGTTTTTTTGTGTTCTATTCCTGCTACCACAGAAAGCAATCCAAAACACTGGAACCTAAAGTAACATTGATGTTGCCATTTTAATAAAAAAGATCCATTACAAAATTTGGGAGAAATATGTGGCATGTAACTCTGCTATTATGAATATATTTCATCATGTTATGTAATTATAGGTTATAATGTTTGCACATAAATACCACATATATTATTAAAGAAGTTTTAATTGTGGTCCAAGACATTCCAATTACTTAAACTTTCTGTCCTTTTAATTATAACTGAAATTCTTTAATTTGTATCATTTTATTGTATCAATTGGTTAAACATCTTGGGAAGATTGATACTATGATGTAAAAATTTGCTAGTATTAGAACAGAGTACAATTTAACAGTAGATGCTGGAATCAAATGAATAGCCTCTTGTATCATTATTAATCTTTTCTCAATCCGTGTAGCTGCTTGTAATTCTGAGGTATGTGGATTGATATGGAGAACTTGTAAAAATGGAACTGTCTTAATTGGAAGAGAAAAAAATTTTTTTCAATGCTTCAGTGACCAGCATCCTTCCTAGTATTATTAATTTAAATTAAAGGCAGACTGGTCGTCCCTCTTTCCTGGTAGTTCCTAAATAACTAAGGATAAGTTCCCAAAGAATTTGCACATAAAATCTTAACTAACAGCTGTTGAGTGAGTGAATCATCCCCAGATCTTATCTGTACTCACTCTCAGCAGGCTTTTGGAATGGCTTTGTTTCAGATTTGGTTAATTTCTCTCCCAAAATGCATGTCATGTATTCTCAGGTTGTATTCTAGCAGTCAATAAATGGACACATGTAAAAACTCTTTGCTGGCTTCATTTTTTTTTAAGCTGAACATTTCTGTCTCACATTAGTTAATATGTTTGCATTTTTTATCTTTTATTTTTCATGTGTGTATAATTTTATGATATCAAGTTAGATATTATTAAATTTAGTAGATATTACTAACATTTGCAGTAATGAAAAGGAATGATTTTTAAAAATTAGATTCAGGTCCTAGCTATATCTTTTTGTAATTTTTTTGTGCATTATTTTTGAACACATTAAATATTCTATTCTGCAATAAGTGAAATGACAAGGAAATGGGGCATTTGTAGTATATTTGGCCTATATTGTTAAATAAAAAATACTTGTAAAAATGTGAATGATTGGATTCAAGTAGGCAATTCATTTTATCACAATTTAGGTGGAGGGGTTAGATTCAATTATCCTAAACCTTAATTGTGTAAATTAATTGATAATTATAAATACTGAGGGAGAGGCTTGGGGTTAGATGGGATAGGAAGTCATGGTGACATCAGGCCCAGTGAGCAGTAAACCTCACAGAGTGTGTGCTTTCGTTCCCTTCACTGTGGTGGTAGTCCAGGTGTCACAACTCCCACATCCTTGCTGAGTGTCTAGCACACAGACACCTTGGTTCTGAGCCCCTGCTCTCGTGGCACTCTCACTGGGCTTTTATTTCTAAACTAGAGGTCTGGTGCACAAATTCAGGCAGGGGTGAGGCCCTCAGCCTGGGCAGCCCAGCCAGGTTCAGGGCCAACAGAAGGGAGACCACAGGAGGTTGGCTGTGGAGTGCACTGACCACCAGGAGCCAGCTCTTGCATTGAGTGTCTGCCCCCTGGTGGTCAGTGGATGACATAGCAACCAGTCTTTCAATGGCTTAGGCTTTTGTATATATTATACTATTATAGTATAGATTCTGCTCCCTGAAGCCTGATGTGGCCCTTTAAGTTGAGATCACACAAAACCCTCTCCACCTTTGGTGCTTATGTAGCAGACTTGCTCCAAGTTTCAGAGACAGGAGGCTGATACTGTAGCAATTCAAGTGACAAGTATTCACTTACCCTCTGCAGTGTCCTGCAGCCATGGCTACATCCCAGTTTTCTCCATGTTGGTTTTTTTCTGTTTGTTTGGGTCTCTGTTCTTCTTGTGAAAGGATTTCTTCTGATGTCAGGAGGTGCTTGGTTATCTGCTGAGAATTCCAAATAGGAGATTAAAGTGCTCAAAGTGTGTGGGTAAGAGATGGGTACCTCTTTCCAGCGAGCTGCCTGGGCCATTTAGTAAGGGAGGTCCCACCCAACATCAATGTCCTTAGGTCGTGGGCTGTTCGGGTTCCAGACTCATCCCAGTTTCTGTGGGGAAAAGGAGAAGACTGGGTCCCTGCACCTTCTGGAAGTCCAGTTCTTTTCAGTGTTTCTCTGCTCTGAACTGTGCCTGGGATCTTCAGCCTAGAGCCCTCTGTTTCCTCTGCAGGAAGCAAACCTCCAGGCTGCTGCTGGATAGGTGAGGGCAGTTACCCACTGCAGTGGGGAAACCTAGGCAATCTGCTGCTTTAACAGGCTTTCATCTCATTCTAGCATCTCTCATCCCCACTTCCATAGGTGCCTGGTGCTGCCAACCATGAACCATGTATCGATTCTGTCATGTAACAGGATGGCTCTTGTCTTAGGATGGCCAGCTTAGCACTCAGTTTTCTTGTGTCTGCTAAATCATGAACTATTTAACCATCTCCCAGCTTCCAAAATTATGTTGCTATGGTTCCCTTTTCTCTCCCCCCTGCCCCAATCATTTTAAGTTTGAGGTTGAAAACACCAATGACAACAATGACCCTCTGTTTACATTTACGTCAGGTCTGGGGGAGGGAGTGAAGTTATATCCATGTTTTGGAATCCCTGTATTTGAAGACAAATGGAAAGGGAGTGGACATAAGCAAAAAGGGGGGAAAGTGCAATTAGTATCAATTGAGAAGGACAAATTAGCGAGGGGAGTGATGACTTCTCTGGAAACTGTTTTATAAAAGAATGCATGCATGCTCAGTTTTCTATAGATGACCCCTCAAACTTCCTGTTGGATAGCTTACCTGTTCTTCCTGCAACATAAAACACTCGGGTAAAGCAGTAGCTGGATTTGCTCAGTGGATAGAAAGAACATTGGTCAGTGGACTGAAGGGTCTCTGGTTCAATTCAGGGGTACATGCCTGGGTTGCAGGCTTGATTCTCGGTTGGGGGCTTGCAGGAGGCAGCTAATCGATTATTCTCTCTCATCAACTCTCTCTCTCTCTCAAATCAATAAAAATATATTTATAAATAAAGAAATAAAAATAAAACAGGTCAAAACAAAACAGTATAAAAACAATAGACTTTAGAGTTGCATGGCCCTGTTGATACCTTGATTTTGGATTTCACAATTGGAAGACAATAATTTCTGTTGTTTTAAGTCTCCTGGTTTGTGGTCCCTAGCACAGGAAACTAATTCAAGTCTCAAGTATGTACCCACACTTGGTTCCTTCGCTTGCAGAGCCCTACCACAGAGAGTTTACCTCAGTCCCCACAGGTCCTGCTCAAATCCCACCTTTGCAGAGGCCACATCCTACTATGCCACTGCAACTAGCAGTTCCTGCCTCTCTCCACTCCTTGGCCTCTTTTATTTTTATTTGTGGTTCCTTAGCCATACCTGATATTATGTTGTACTAGATGCCTAGCACACGAAATTGTGCGAGACCTAGTCCTGCTGCGCTGGTGGGACCCCAGACCTGCCCTGTGCAAGCCACGGGCCCTGCCTCCGCCACACAAGCTGTAGGCCCCACGTGAGCCCCTTGCGCAAGCCCTGCCAGCCCCGCCTTACTGCACTTGCCTCAAGTCCCGGCCGGCGAGAGGTGCTCCTCGCACCTCTTGGTGACTGGTTGTTTAGTTGTTCTGCCATTTTGGAGTTCTGTCACAGGCCTTAGATGATACAGATAACTTTTGTTTATTGTCTGCCTGGCCTTCTAGAATGTCAGTGTCATGAAAGTCTAATTCAGCCCAGCCGATGTGGCTCAGTGGTTGAATGTCAACCCATGACTAGGAGGTCACAGTTCAATTCGTAGTCAAGGGCACATGCCCGGGTTTCAGGCTGGATCTCCAGTGTAGGGTGTGCAGGAGGCAGCCTATCAATGATGCTCTTTCATCATTGATGTTTCTACCTCTTCTCACTCTCTGAAATGAATAAAAATAAAAAGAAAGAAAGAAAGTCTAATTCATGGCTGTAGGTTCAGTGCCTGCCAGCTCAGGTAGGCACATATAGGTAAGCTCTCCACACACACTGTATTTGTTATGTAAATGAACTAACTACTAGACAGTCTGGTTTACTTTTTGCACTATATATATATATAACCAACATGTATGTCTGTTTGTTTGTTTGTTTATTTATTTATTTATTTATTTATTTATTTATTTATTTATTTATTTCAGAGAGGAAGGAAGAGGGAGAGAGATGGAAACATCAATGATAAGAGAGAACCACTGACTGGCTGCCTCCTGTGCCCCCCCATTGGGGATCGAGGCCCCAACCTAGGCATATGCCCCTGACCGGAATCGAACCTGGGACCCTCCAGTTTGCAGGCTGATACTTTCTCCACTGAGCCAAACCATCTAGGGCTACTTTTTGCTTTTTTATAGCCTTTACATTGCTTTGCTCATAGTAGACCCTCAGTAACTGTGTGCAGATGCACCAAAAAGCCCATCACCATTAGTGGGCATAAGGCTCTGTAGGGTTAAGGGAGGAGTAAAAATGTGTAACACATTGGTCTGGTCAGGTGGCCTCTTTGCTATAAAACAATTGTGGGGACAATCGATCAGAATTCCCCGAGTAATCATTTGTTTGCCACACACAGCCACTGTTTCTCTTGCATTGAACATCACCCCCACTTGCTCTATTTTTCTGATTAAGGAAACAGAATTGAGTAATCTAAATTTAGTTTGTGTAGCTCCGAGGTGCCAATCATGGCACATAATGAATTAGGTGATTCCTTTCACCCCCCCTTCCCTGAAGCATTGAGCTGAATCCAACAAATTCATTTCATTCAGGCCCACAGGCTGAACTGGGAGTGCTGTCTGTGACAGGACAGTGCTTTCCTCACTAATTAAGTCACCAGCTCAAACAGCCTCCTCAGGGTGGGAGTGCTGCTTATCTGAGTTGGTCCAGAGACTGCTTTTGGCCCTCTGTTTGCAAAGGGAAGTGGTATATAATTTTGTTACAAATATGTAAGCCAGGAAAAAAATGTACTTATGTAACATAAATATGTAAATAAAATGTACACACACACACATATAAATCTCATATAATTTTGTAAATGTTTTTAGTCTTTCAAGGGCCTTCCTTTCTAGTTTTCTTAGTAAACCCATATTTAGAATTCACAATTTCAGGATAAAGGGCTGTTTTCTAATCAGTTTTGAAAAGAGCCGATATAAAGCACATTTCATGTGCTTTCCTTTCATAGAAACATAAAGAAGTACTCGTTGGAAAGCTGTTATATTTGATATTTGTAAGAAATAAATCATATGTTAGAAATACCAATTGTTACGGTACTTTCTCTAGGGAAAAAATAATGAAGTTCTACTTCCATTTATACCTTCTGAGTCCTTATATGCACACCGGGTTTTATTTACTTATTTAGAATTTCTCAATATGTACTCTGTGTAGGATTTCTCTCTTTGCATAATGATTCATACACATTTTGATTGTATCAGTACTTCCTTGAAACATTTATTTCCAATTACAGTTTACATTCAATATTATTTTGTATTTGTTTCAGGTGTACAGCTAGTAGTCAGGTCAGACAATAATATACTTTACAAAGTGTCCTCACCAATCATATACTTTACAAAGTATACCACTACCCACTTGGTATATTTTTAAATATATTTTTATTGACTTCAGAGAGGAAGGGAGAGGGAGAGAGAGAGAGATAGAAATATCATTGATGAGAGGCAATCATTGATTGGCTGCCTCATGCATGCCCTACACTGGAGATTGACCCACAACCTGGCATGTGCCCTGACCAGAAATCAAACTGTGACCTCCCTGTTCATAGGCCACCCCTCAACCACTGGGCCACACCAGCTGGGTTATTACAATATTATTGATTATATTTCCTATGTTGTACTTTACATGGCCATCAACCAGGAGGTTTTACACATGAGGAATTTTGACTGGGCTTTTTTAAGTCAGTAAAAATGAAAATGAAAGTGAATAAAATGTTTGAAATGGTGCAAATTTACTTTTTTAAATATTATTATGTTGATATATTTAATAAAGTATGTTTGCGAGCTTCTCTCTCCTTTCTGGCAGATACAAAGTTAGCCCCTCCCAACTGTTTATGAGGTGAGGTGTGGCACCTTCATTCCTTGTCACTAATCACCAGCATTTGCCTGGGAGGGGCCAGAAGACCCAGGTTATCAGCTCCTGGCAGGAGGGGCGCAGCACTGGATGGAGGGGCGGCTTATCCAGACTCCCAGAGGTGGTTGAAAAGGGCCCATGTAGCTCAGACATCTGAAACCCGTGGCCTTTTCCAGTTCTCTGGCGTTGTCTACAGTTGTTTCCCAGCACAGCATTTCAAAATGCAGAGTTTTTTTGTGTAATTTATTTAAAAGAAATAGATTTAGGGTTTAGATAGAGAACTATATTATCTAGAAATACCACCTCTGTAAAGGGCAAATTAAACTAATGTTTGTTATGAGAGCAGAGCTAGTAAAATGTATGTATAGGAAAGCAGTTGATACTTGGAGGAAGTTTTACTGTCTGCTTTTCAAGAAATACCTCTTGCTTGGATTTGAAGATCATGTGGGTAATAGGAAAGGCAATCTTTGAAATGAGATGTTTTACACTGGGCTCATACATAAGGAGGTCTAACTTCAATAATAAACCAAACTAATCAAGAGCACTTGTTTTAACTACAGGGAATTGGTTTCAACCCAATCTAGACTTCATCTTGTGGAATGTTTCACGTGGCTTGCCCCCTTACTTTGCCCACATGTTATCGAGGACTTTTCTGACCTATTTCAAATTACATTAGCCTTCCCTCCCCCATCTCTCTATGCCGCTTACTTTTTCTTTCTAATGCTCATCATCACCCCAAATAGTAATTATTATTATTATTATTATTGTTGTTGTTATTATTTTGTCTCTCCCTTAAATCCCATGTAAATCCCTTGTCCTGCTCACTGCTGTTTACTCAGTGTACATAGTAAGTGCTCAATAATCGTTCAGTGAATGAATGAATGGATGATTGATGCCTGAGACCTTTCTGTTAAAAGGGTTGGTCTCATTCTACACGATGCGCTGAACATCTGGGCGCGGTTGGGGGTCGGAGGTGTGGGAATGGAGGAATGAATGGCTGGAAATGAGGGAGGTTCCTGTACTCCCTGCGCAAACCATTCCTCTAAGAACTGCATTTGCCTTCCTGGCTTTCACTTTTCCTAATGTTTTCATGTCAGCAACGTAATCTTGAAATTGAATAATTATGTCACGAGTCTCTAGGAATTAAACAATTCCTTTTCCTATTCTGAAAACGAAGCAAAACAAAACCACGTCGGCACAGTGGTGCTGTCGCTGGGCAAGCAAACTGGAGAACTGAGACAGAGCACCCTGACACCTAAGTACCAGTGATGGAAATGACTAGGAAGTCCTTGGCTGTGGCTGTGGCTCCTGCCTTAGTCAGGCTGGCACGTGCAGCCAGGGCCTTCGTCCAGGACCCCCGGGAATCCAGGGGGACTGCAGTGCACGGACCCGTGGTGGAGGCGGGGCCTGGAGGGGGCCCCACGAGAGCAGCCCTGAGCCTGGGGGAGGGGCTGGTCCGAGAGGGGCGTGGCCCTAAGAGGGGCGTGGCTTCTGTTGCCCCGCCCCCAACGCCGGGCGGCGAAGGTGGCGGCGCGCCTCGGGGGCGCAGGGGAGACACGAGCGGGACCCGGTGCGGGCGGCGGAGGGGCGCGCTGGGCTCGGTGCGGGGGCCCCGCTGAGCGCGCCGCCGCGGCAGGAATCCAGGGCCGGCGGAGGCCGCCCCGGGCATGCTCTCGCTCCGCCTAAACATGGCTGCGGCCTTGCGAACCGCGGGTGCTCTGCTCCGCGATCGAAGTAAGTGGGGCTGCCTGTGCAGCAGCCGGCGCCGGGGTCCCTGCGGCGGTGGGGACCGCGGGCAGCTCCCGACTCCCGCCCCCCTGCCCGGGGGCTTCCGGGAGGCGCAGGAAGCTGCCCCGGAGGGGGCGGGGGCAGAGAAGGGGCTGGGAGGGACCCTCCCCTGGCAGGGTCCTGAGGGTGCCGGGGTAGGGGACCTGGGAGGCTGTGGGGAGGGAGCATGTGGTCCCACCGGTCAGCTGGGTGACTGTCGGTAACGGCAGACCCCTGTAACTTTCAGCAGTTATTTACTCATTTATTTTCTTTTTAAGAATCCTCACCAATGATCCTAGAGAGAGTGGAGAGAAACATGACATGATCTTAGAGAGAAACTTGACAGATTGCCTCCTGACATGCACCCCCCTGGGATTGAACCTACAACCAGGGCATGTGCCCTGACCCCAGCATCCAACTGGGTGACCTTTTGGTGTTCGGAGGAATCTCAACCAACTGAGCCACACTGGCCAGGCCCATAGTCTTAGCTCTTATCTGTAGAGTCAGAATAACCACAGTGACAGTATGGTTGTGAGGATTACAGATAACTTACGTATGTTAAGGGCCTGCCATAGGGAGGACTGAAGGCATTGCCCATCCCACTCAAAAGAGTAGGCAGTCTAGAAATAGATGACACAGTTTAACTTGAGGATCTTAGGGTTTGCAAAGAGGAAACACAGTTAGGCAATATTCAGAATGTTCCAAAGGAGAAAGAAAAGTTTGAGAATTTTATAGCAGGAAGTACATGTTTGAAAAGCGTTCAGCCCTAGCTGGTTTGGCTCATTATATAGAGCGTCAGCCTGCGGACTGAAGGGTCCCGGGTTTGATTCTAGTCAAGGCCACATACCCGGATTGCAGGCTTGATCCCCAGTAGAGGGTGTGCAGGAGGTAGATAATCCATGATCCTCTCTTATCACTGATGTTTCTATCTCTCCCTTTCCCTTCCTCTCTGAAATCAATAAAAAAATATTTTAAAAAAAATCAGTCCTGCCGGAACCGGTTTGGCTCAATGGATAGACCGTCGGCTTGGGGACTGAAGGGTCCCGGGTTCGATTCTGGTCAAGGGCATGTACCTTGGTTGCAGGCATAATATCCCCAGTAGGGGGTGTGCAAGAAGCAGCTGATCGATGACTTTCTCTCATTGATGTTTCTAACTCTCTTATCTCTCTCCCTTCCTCTCTGTACAAAAATCAATAAAATATATTAAAAAAAAATCAGTCCTGCATTCTTAGCCATTAGGTTGGCTCAAGATGGTAATCTTCCAGATGCCCAGTGCTGTGAATAATGGGACATTTTCTTCTTGAGATCGTTAAGATGGTTCACTGAAGGTTTGATGTATGTCCAGACATTGATGCATAAAGGACTGATGTGCATCCAGGTATTGACAAAGGACTGGAAAGTTCAGAAATTTAAGTTCCCTGGCTAGTTAAGGCAAGAATAGAATTGTTTCCTTATGCCTCAGCTTACTTTCTTTCAATAATTTAGCAGCTTGACCATAGTGACTCCACTTTATTTCTTCATTCTATTCTTCAACATCATCATCATCATCATGGTGTCTACTCTTGGCTTCTCTCCCTGGAGATGGAAGGAAAATGTGCCCACTGCTTCTCTGCACTAGCCCCTGGCATCACCTGGTGCTCACTGGTCCTTGGCAACAGGACCCACTAGCCTGGGCTAGTGTTTTCTAGAGATATTTGGAAAACAAATATGACCCATTGACAACACCACACATTTCTTTCTTTCTTTCTTTTTTTTTTTTTTAATGATCATTATTATTTTTTAAAATATATTTTATTGATTTTTACAGAATGGAAGAGAGAGGGCTAGACAGTTAGAAACATTGATCAGATGCCTCTTGCACACCCCCTACTGGGGATGTGCCCACAACCAAGGTACATGCCCTTGACTGGAATCGAACCTGGGACCCTTCAGTCTGCAGGGGGACACTCTATCCACTGAGCCAGACCAGTTAGGGCAATGCCATACGTTTCTGATGCAAACCCGTTGAATGTGGGTTGTGTCTACAGGATGAACTGATGGAACTCTGCGTCACACACACTTGGTTGGGGCACAAGCTCTGCACCATTCTTAACTGTGACACCTTAGCAAGACACTGAGCCTGGCCTGAGCTTTAGTAAAGTGAAAGGAGTAAGGTAGTACCTCATGGCTTGCCATGAAGTTTTGCTGGATACACACTATCCTAGCACACAATACATTCATGGAGACCTCCAAAATGTTCATCATGTCAAAGTCTACCACATACTAAGATGCTTACTTAATGCATTTGATCCGTGACTGGACACAACTGACTTACTTTTCTAAGAAATTTCCTCATTAGTCAGTCTGGCGTCTACTGAGAGGGAATGGAGAGAATCCACCCTGAATCTCCATATCTTATTGCAGGTGCCTTTGTTAGGAAAATCATAAGAACCCAGAAGTACAATAAGGATCAGGTCACTAGGGGCACTGGGTGACAATGATCATTGAAGAAGAGGAAGCACAGTGGCAGGAATGGGGCTGAAAGAAGTATCAGGGCTGAAAATTTGACATCTAGTTGTATTACAGACTCTGAGGTTAAGATGTAGTTATAATAATGTCATTAACTTGTTTGATATGAAGGGATTAACATGGTGTGGATTAGAAAAAATTGAGTAGTATTTCTGAAAATGAATTCTGAAAGTAGAAGTGGAAAAGCAAAGTTTTACGTTCTGTTTTTAGCATGTGGCTCCCTGGTTTCATGGTATGTTGTTTCGCTTAAAGTCCTAGAACCTATTGATGTTGGCAAGTGAGGATTTACTGCGTTTTTACCTCTGGCTTAACCACATGCAGCGTGCCTGGTACTGTTGTTGGGGCTGGACAGAGAATGCTTTGTTCCCCTAATCTTATTAACAGCTCTGCACGATTGACCTTATCGCCATTTTACAGACAGGGAAAGTGAGATGTGGAGTAACTCTCCGAGTTGCCCAAGCACTGCCCTGCAGCTTGTTGGTCCTAGCAGGGGTTTCTGCTCAGATCTCTCTGGCTCCCGAACTCATACTCTCTGTACACACAGTGCTGCCTGTTGGGCTGAGTATGTTCAGCGGCCTCAGTTGGCCCTTCGAATGATCACTTTAAACTCCTTTCGCTAGATGAACACTCGTCTTTTAGTACGAGTCACTCTTGGTTTCTCTAGAACCTTCAGATCATTAGGGGAGAGGTGTGTTTTAGAGAAGTCTTTGAGAGGTGGGTATATGAACTCTTAAGTCCTGAGCAGACAGGATCCATGATTAGTAACACCCTCCTTCTCTGAGAATTTGTTCTACCATAGAGAAGAGAATTCTGTAAGTAGAGGGCATTGCAATAGCCTGGCAGCTCCAATAGCTCCCAGCTCCTAAGTTGTTCTAGTTGGAGGCTCTTGTCTCACCCTATCCCTTTTTAAGGTTCACAGGAAGAAGTTTTATTTTATTACCAGCAGGCATATTATGGGATGCCAAAGTTCTGTTCTCATACTCCATGGAATCTGATAAAAATCTCGTTCATATGAGGAATTGCAGACATTGTGGCATGATTGAGAATCTGGCTACATCTCATCATGCAGTTCAGATTTCAGCGTGTCTAAAATAAGGAGATGTGGGCTGATTTGAGACTTCATTTGAGCAGCATTGAACTGCTTTGTGTCAATTGTTGCACTTCCACTTTGAGTTAGTAAGGATTATTGAACACAACTCATGTAATTGGCTCTGCTGGGAATGGTCACAATCTGGATAGCTGGTTCTCTTCGTAGCCTGGAGATACCATTCTCCTGTATTTTATAGACATTTTAGGTGATAAAAATCAGCAGGTGTAGTCCCTACGCTCTAGACACTTACAGATGAGACTAACGCCAGCATTCATCATATGTAGCAGACCCCTTGCAGAACGCTTCACTGAGCTTATCTGCTATAATCCTCACAAGGATCCCCGTAGCAATGGCATCATTTTACACCCAGGGAAAGTAAGGCTCGGAAATGTAACCCGGCCCTCGTCACATTACTAAAAAGAGGCAGAACTGGATTCAGAGTCAGATCTGCTGGTCTCCAGCCCAAGTTCCTTACCAGGACACCTATGACTCATAAGTAGGAGGAGGAAGGAGACTGTTCTCAAGCTGGTTTCAAATGTGCTGGTTTAAGAATATGAAAGGGAGGTCACGTGTCCGGTGTGGGACTAGAGTCGAGTTTGGCCCAGGGATTCCTCAATTCAGGTAGGTTTTCCAAGCCCACCACTAATTCTTGTAGAGCCCAGGGCAGGAGTACAAATGGGGAGTCGGATATGTGGGACAGCAAGCTAACAAATGTGCCTTATATTCCATTTTTCTACATTGATAAATAGACCTTTATAACAACCCGGAAGAGTGAACTCCCGAACTCTTCTGAGTTCCTGCAGAAATGTGGAGGCTTTGGGAGACATGCCACTGGCCTGCAGGCCTCCCTGCTCCTCCCACTGCTGGCTCCGTGTGTACACATGTGTGGACTTTCCAGTTTGTATGTTCAGGCTCCCTTCTTGCCCCTGCAAACAGCCACCCCTTGGGTACCTGACATCATGCTTACATTGATTGCATCATCAGCTCTCCGGAGGATGGACCTAGGAAAGGGACCTGGGCAGAGCCTGGAAGTGGGTGTGGGACTTTGGGGGTATGGGATTCCGGGGTTGTGGGAATGTGGTGTTTGGACTTGGGGGGTCAATTAATCATTGGCCATACAAGACTACATACCCCATGGAGTGGGGTGCAGCAGGGAGAGTGCCAGAAGGGTGCCTCTAAAGCGAGGTCCCCCTTGTCAGGGTCCAAGGGCAATGTGGGGCCCTCAGCACTGGTGCTTTATTGGAGAACGCTTGTGGGCAGACATGAGATCTGTGCGATGTGGAAAACTGGCCCAGTTTCCACTTTTAAAAAATATATATATTTTATTGATTTTCCACAGAGAGGAAGGGAGAGGGATAGAGAGCTAGAAACGTTGATGAGAGAAACATCGACCAGCTGCCTCCTGCACACACCCACACTGGGGATGTGCCTGCAACCAATGTACATGCCCTTGACCGGAATCGAACCGGGACCTTTCACTCCGCAGACTGATGCTCTATCCACTGAGCCAAACTGGTTTCGGCCCGGCTTCCACTTCTTAAGTCAGTGTCTCTTACCCTCTCCTGTAGTATGCTGCCATCAATAACTTTTAGGAGGTGCGGTGATTCTCATGAGGGATCCTATCAAATCTGCAGCCAAGGGGAGGTGTGTGGTTTCTAAAAAGGCTCCCTACAAGTCCTGATAAGCCATCCTGGGGGGCACCACCATATTCCCTTGGAGACGCCTTAAGTGCCTTCACCCTCCTGCAGAGGAATAAGAAGGGGGGGAGGTGTCACCCCTGCTATTACATCTCTTTAAATTTTAAATCTAGGAATTGTGCCCCGAGGACCACTTCAAAAGAAATTACTTTCCAGCTGGATTTCATGTCCCACTTTAATTTTGTCACAGTGGCGCCTGGCAGCTCAAGGGCTCGACAGCCATGGAGGTGCCAATCAGATGCAGCAGCTGCAGCAGTAGCCAGCACAGAAACAGCCCAAAGTGCCAGAAGCCCAAAGCCTCAAGTTCAACCGGGGAAGAGGTATGAGTCTAATTTTAGGTACGAATAAGGATTTCTCTTTACTGATGCAAACATCAGGAGATACAAGCAAGCTCCCCAGGAAAAAAGATGCTGGGAGAACCCAGCATATAAGGAGCGAGATGTTATATTCTTGAGTTCCTTTCAATAGCTGTCAAGTTATTAAACAGATTTCGCACACCCCCTTAGGTCTTTAAAAAAAATGTTTTTTACAAATTTTAAATCATTAATTTATTTTTCAGTTTTGTTGAATGAAAAAAACCCACAGGACTTTTTTTTTAAAAAAAGACACAGAGTTGAGTACAAGCAGTCTGCAAATCATGTAGGAATTTTGTTCTGGAATATGTCACATAACACAAATCATATGTATGCTGGAAATGTATTTATGAACCTAACATAGTTATACCTCTGAAATCTCTGTCCTGTTCAGGGTAAAGAATAACTAATCTGCCAAGAATTTCTGTAGTGAGGGCTACCGTTGTTTTTCATTGGTTAACAGAGTGAACATAATTGTAAGTGATGTAATATGATTTATAATTTATTAAGGAAATAAAGTACATGTTTCATACCTCACCTCTGCCATTTGCGGGCAGATGTCAGTAGGCATAGCATTGTTGCTGGGTATCCTCTTTCATAACAGAAACCACAGCTGTTCTCAAGTTTTATTTTGGTGCAGACTATAAAGATAATTATTTAAATGAGTACATAGATAGATTACTGCATTTGAACCCTCAGCACAGTGGAAGCAAGTAGTGTGAACTATTTAAACCCTTGATCTTTCTGGTAGACCGGATATTCGATGAAAATTTTACAGCTGTGACAATATAATAGTCTTTTTTGTGTTTTTATTATTTTTCTTTTTGTTTTAGATTTTTAAAATTGATTTTTTAAGGAGAAGGAGAGAGCTAAATATCAATAGGCTGCCTCCAGGATGCCCCCTACTGGGGATTGAGCATGCAACCCAGGTATGGACCCTGACCAGGAACTGAACCAGCAACCTTTTGGTGCACAGGATGATGCCCAACCAACTAAACCACTCCAGACAGGGCGCGTTTGTTATTTTTCTTTGTGTGACCAGGGATATATTGAGTGCTAAGTAAACTGAGATTTGTAGAGGAGAGAGCATTAGGAGTGGGGCCCCAAATCATCTCCTTTCAATTCTCTGGTTTCCTAAAAGTTTGAGTCTGGTAAGGAAGCATAGCTGCTCTCCGTTCTGGCATGCTGAGCAGGGTCCCATTTTGCTTGGCCACCCATGGTCCCTCTTCTCACCTCAGCCATTTGATGTGGAACCCTGGAAAGAAATTATTTCATTATTGTGTTATTTCAGTGGCAAAAGTCAACAATATATTGTTGGAAATGTATTTATGAACCTAACATAGTTATACCTCAAGTTTTATTTTGGTGCAGACTATAAAGTTTTATTAATCAAGTTTTATTTTGAATTTTAATATGAATTTATTAACATTTAACAAAAATATTAAAAAATAGAAATTCTATTAAATAACTTTACATCTCATTTATGCAAAAGAAATGGGTTCATTTTAGGAACTACATACAGACAGGTAAAAAAAAAATTAGCAGTAATATCACCATCAGTATTTTTGTCTCTATATCTGTGTCTATTAATATTCACTCAGTATATATTTACAAAAATGTGACAATACTGTACATATTATTTTTATAATTTCCTCTTTTCATTTATTTAATTTAAAAAATACATATTTCCCTATTGATCTCAGAGAGGAAGAGAGAAAGAGAGATAGAAACATCAATAATGGGAGAAAACCATCGATCAGTTCCCTCCTGTATGCCCCCTACTGGGGATCAAGCCCACAACCCAGTCAGGGATCCAACCTGAGACTCTTCAGTCCCCAGGCTGATGCTTTATCCACTGAACCAAGCTGGCTAGGGCTCCTTTTTTTATTTAATAATATGTCACCATGTAAATATAAACATTCTACATTATTTTAATAATGTAGAGTTTTAAATAATAATTTATATATCCGGTCCCATGTTATGGAGATTATTTCTAGTTTTTAGATATTGGAAATGATGAAATAATGAGTGTCTTTCTGTGAAGGCATTGTGCTGCTTAGTGCTTAGGCTAGACTGGGCTAGATAATCCTAGACTAACACTCTAAGAGTCAGCAACCCTACTTGTAAGGGGCTAGATGGTAAATGTTTTAGGCTTTGTGGGCCATTTGGTCTCTTTTGTTGCTATTCAACTCTGTTGTTGTCATGTGAGAGCAGTCATAGTTAATATGTAAATAAATGAGCTGCATTCCAATAAAACTTTATTTAAAAAACAGAGGATGGGGTGAACAGGTTGCAGATTTGCCACACCCTGTCCTAGAGGCAGCATGGACCTTCAGGCCAGTTACATCTTGTGGGTTAACTACATATAGTAGAGTAGAATTCTTTTTATTAATTGATGAGCTAAGTTTCTGTGATGTATCATTAGTAGTTCAAAGGAAAACCCTCATATTTTGAGAGTCTCAGAATATGAAAATGGCAAAATGTTAATACCTTTTTAAGTAAGACGTTTTAAATATATTTTGCTCCATACATTTTTACATTCAAACAAAGGGATCTTGGTGATTCAGATCTTGGTCTCAACTGTGCTCTGTCTGGAGGGGCAAAGAGACAGAGGCCCTTGACTAAAGCTTTGTACATCACATTCTGGAAAAGGGGTGTGGGGCCAGGGCTTACTAATGCACCATTCGTTATGCACAACACAGTTTTGAATCAAGTGCATGTGTATTAGGTATTTTCAAATCATGTGCATCTCTTTCATGTGTAAGATCAACACACTTTGCAAAACATGGGTTTGCAGGGCAGGGTAACGTCCCATTTAAAGCCACTCTCGTTCTGAGCTCAGGTGTAGATGAAAAACAGTTCTAAATCCCATTTGTACATTGATACCCTCCATGGCTTAGGTAAGTCGCTTAGCCTGGGGTTTCTTTAACCACTAATCTGTTAACTGGCAGCAATCCATGGAAAAATGCACTTAATTTATTGTGAGTCACAGATTTTGAAAGTGAAAGACAGAATCCCAGGAGAACACTGGTGGTCTAAGTAGAAAGATTAGGGGAATATTACAGTTTCACAATATAATGAAGCTGGAATTTTCAGGTATTAAGAAATGAAAACTAAGCACGCTTGTTAATTCATTGAGAGGACTTCTGATCAGAGGGGGTGGGAAAGTTATAGAATAATGATGTCTTCAGTGTAGTTGTGTGGTTTAATAAGAAGGAAATTAAACCTCCTTGCTCTAGTACAGTGGTCCCGACCAAGGGTTGAGGTATACTTGTTGTTACAGCTGGGATGGGGTAATGCTGATGCCATCTACTAAGTAAGGCCAGGGATGCACAAAACAGCCCTCCACAACCAAGTGTTACCCAGCCTAAAATGTCAGTAGTGCCAAGGCTGAGAGAAGACAAGGGGGTGAAAGTGAATTTAGAGAATCTTTATAATGGGGTCTAAATAGGAAAATAGATAAAGAGAAGGTATCAGAGTGAGACCTGGCTGGTAAGACTCCATTATGATGCATCATTTCCCTTTTCCCAGGAATTAGTTCTGATTTTGAAAATTCAGGCTGTGACTTTAGATTTCCACCTCATTCACTTACAGTATGCTTGATCAAGAAAACAGTTTCCATCTGTATACATGTGACACACTCTGCTGTCCACCATTGCCAAATGGTGTTAACAGTTGTTTAGCAGATGCAAATGAAATGTCACCATGATATCTTTAGCTTCAGAGCACATCAAGGCCGGGCTTCCAAACGAGAGCCCTCTCAGCAGCACTGGCTTAGTCACTGTGGTCGCTAGCAGTGGTCCTGATGTAGGAGATGGAGACGGTGTTTTAGGTAAGCTTAAGACTAGTTATTTCTCAGCTGCCTTATCAAGAGTGACTGGAGAGTGCGTCTCTACAATGGAATATTAGTCAGCCATGAAAAGGAAAGAGGTACTGGTGAATGCTACAACATAGATGAATCTTGAACATTTTATGCAAAGTGAAAGAAGCCAGACACAAAAGGCCACATATTATATGATTCTGTTCCTATGAAATATCCTAAATTGACAAACCCATAGATCCAGAAAGTAGATTAGTGGGACCCATTAGTGGCTCTAATGGGTCCAAGGCTTTTGGCAGGGGGGGGGGGGGGGGGCGGTGATGAAATGTTCAGGAATTAGGTACTTGTGATAGTCACATAACTTTGTGAATATATTAAAAGCCACTGAATTGTACTCATTTAAAATGGTAAATTTTGTAGAATATAAATTATCTCTTAAGTTTTTTTAAATGAGACAATAGGAATGGGACATACACTCCTGTGTTTCCTTTAGTTTACCCACTTGCAGACACTCTTACTGTCATCACATAGCTCCCCATTTCTGGGGACACACAGGCCTCCAGGTCATGGTCCTGTCTCAGGCCCTGACCTCATAGTTCCTAGTCTCTGTCATGGTCTCTGGAGGCTTCCAGAAACCTTCTGGAAGCATGGAGCCCTGTTCTGGCTCCACCTTGCCCCTGGCAGGTTTTCAGACTGTGTAGGCTCCAGCCTTGCTCTGGATTTTAGAAGTTTGCATCTTGCATAGGTCTTTTGTGGTTTTGATTTTTCAGTACTGCTTGATTTAAAACTCTTTTTATATATGTTCTTATTGATTTCAGAGAGAGGAAGGGAGAGGGATAGAGAACTAGAAACATCGATGAGAGAGAAACATCGATCAGCTGCCTCCTGCACATCCCCCACCGGGGATGTGCCCACAACCAATGTACATTCCCCTGATCGGAATCGAACCTGGGATCCCACAGACCAACGCTCTATCCACTGAGGCAAACTGATTTCGGCAGGTCTGCAGCTTTTTACCTTGATATCGAACAGATTAGATGAGAGTTTGCCAGCTGAGCCAAGATTCCTCTGCGGAGGGAAATAAGTGTACACATCATCCACTGCATCTTCTCTTGCGCAGGAAACCGAAGACTGGAATACTGATGCTGAACATGGGGGGCCCTGAAACCCTCGCAGATGTTCACGACTTCCTCCTGAGACTCTTCTTGGACCGAGACCTAATGACACTTCCTATTCAAAAGTAAGCTCCCCGGGAACACCTGTCCTTAGTCATAGTGTGTCCCGTGCATTTTACTTTACATACATCTCAGCTCTATAGTCTCAAAAAGTAAACGTTTTTAATGCATGTCAGGTAGTGGCTAGAGAAGCAGCACAATTTTCTATTAGATTTGAGAAGGATGCGATATTGCAGGAGAGAGACAGCAGGTCAGTGAGTGTTCTTGAGCCTGTCCCGCCCTGAGCTCTAGAGAGCAGGTGTCTGGCACAGCCGAGGCCCCGTTATGGATCTGTAGAGATGGGTTTGTTCTTGGTAGCGAGCAGCTGGTTATTCATTGGTGCTGCGGGTGTAAAATGTATACATGTGTACAGTAAAAATGCCAGTGGTATAAAGGTGTTTACAGTAAAAGGCAGGGGTCCTTTTACCTTGGACTCCGGCCTCCCAGTGAGTCACCCTGAAAGATGAGCACTGTTACATCCAGAAATAGTCCATGCATATCCAAGCAGATCTGTGTATACACATATATACCCCCCTTTTCTTTACACAGATGTGAATGTAATTATGTATAGTATTAGGCACGTGACTGTTTTTTCCCTTCAAATTTAATGTGTCTTGGAGATTGTTCCCTAACAGATTATATAGACGTGGCTCATTTTTTCTTTCATGAATGTAAAGAATTGGTTGGGCCTTAATTTATTTAGCCAGTGCCTCACGGATAGACATTTAGGTTGTTTGCACTGTTATAATGAACATTCTTATGCATACATCTTTGCTCACAAATGCAAGTATATCTATAGGATTAATATGCATTATCTTACATTGAGAGGGATATGTCAGAAAATGCATGTTAATTCTGTCTTACACACTCCCTGCTAGGGAGTGTTAAGATCGTAGCTAGCACACGTTCAGGGTCTCTGCCTGAATCTTCAGGATGCTAGAACAACTGCAGAGGTGGCTGTTCCTACGAGAGCGTCCAGTTTTCTCTGTAATCTAGGCCGAGAGAGCTGGCCCTTGTCAGTGACTTTCAGCTCCCATTTTCAAAGGCTTGACCTCCTTAGACTCCTTTTAAAATTCTGCTTATCTTTTTCTTGTTGAGTAGAAAATGTTTCTGAGTGGCTAAGGTCTAATGGAATTCACTCGCCTTCACGTTAAATGATTTAGTAGGCTGGCTCCAATCATCGCCAAACGTCGAACCCCCAAAATCCAGGAGCAGTACCGCAGGATTGGCGGTGGATCCCCCATCAAGATGTGGACCTCCAAGCAAGGAGAAGGCATGGTGAAGCTGCTGGACAAGATGTCCCCACACACAGGTAGTGTGTTTCTTTAATGAACATCTCACTGGCAGTTACAAAATTCAAAGCACTACTGCATGCCACGTGCAGTCTGCGTCCCAGCACCTCTCGCTTTGTGGGGGTTCCTGTGTGAGGCAAGGTCACTTAGTTCTCCAGGTCTTTTTCCTAGTCCTCGGCTGTATTCCCTTTCCTGTTACTTCCTTATGTGGCAAATGAAAAAGCGAAGGATTTGGAACATTTGTTCCATAAGGTAGTTTGAGGTGCGCATTAAGTTGAGCTAGATTATAAGGAAGAGGCGATACACACTGACTCAACCAAGGTCCCGTTAAAGGTCTGCAGAGATGGGTTTGAATAAAAGACGCACATGTCATTGCTCTGGGAAGAAAGCTTGAGGCTGCTGTGATTGCCTTTTCTTCCTGTGTGGATAGCTAATTATCAGATCAACACGGAGAGCCAAATTAGCTCGCTGTCGCTGTAGCCAGGAGCCGAAGCAGCTCTCAGCAGCTGCTGTCAGCTCTAGGCAGTACCATCATCGTGAGGCATCTGTGCGCCTCGTCAGATGTGGCTCTGACAAGAGGATCGTGCCTGGCTGGTGGCTCAGTTGGTTGGAGCATCATCCCCATGCACTGAAAGGTGGCAGGGACAATTCCGGGTCAGTGCACATACCCAGGTTGTAGGTTCCGTCCTCGGTTGGGGCATGTACAGGAGGCAACCGATCAATGTTTCTCTCTCTTTCCCTACCTCCCTTCCTCTCTCTGAAATCAATTAAAAACAAATAAATAAAAATATAAGGAGGACCCACACACCTCTGGCAACTGTCCTCTGAAAACCTCTAACGGAATAATAATGTACAGAATGAAACACTACTCAAATGAACTACAAGTTCCATATTTAATCCCACTGAAGATGCCATTGACTGTAGGATATACCATTGTTTTTATGTAACACTGAGACACACAAACAACTCTGCCAGCTGTCCAGCAGTAGGGAGGGGGAGGAGCCTTATCTGTTCTTCCCAGGGTATTTCACTCTCTCTCACTTCAAAATGCAGCAACCACCCTGCCTTTATCAGTGTGGGCAGCCTCTCCCCTTCTCCGGGTCTGCAGTATTAAGCAACTCCACACCCTGAGCATTTAAGCTGCAACGTTTCAACGGTGGAGAGGAAACGTGAGAAGCTGGTGGACCCGCAGCATCGGGGATCTTTCTATGCCAATCTGATGGTAGTATGTCTCAACATGGGTTAGAAAGCCAGTACCACTTCACTGCACCTCACGTCGCCAGGTGCACCTTAAACATGGACTTGACAACACTATGGAGGCTGGCAGTTTTAGGATGAGCCACATAACCTTTGAGCAATCAGTCATCTGGCCTTTGCTTGCAGGTTCATGTCCTCGGTGTGTTTTTAGTCCCAGTTCACCATATTTTATGCAAGAGGACATAAGATGGGTGGCTTAGAAGGACAGACAGCTGAAAATGGTTTCCTTTATATCCTTTCCTTCCTCTTTCTTTGGTCCCCAACTAGCGAATATCAAGTCAGACCCTCCTTCCCATGCACAGACATGCTTCTCTGTTTTTTTGCTATTCTGCACCCATCCTTGGTAACATGCTCCATTGATCCATGATTTCTTGGGTCACATTATTGAGGAGTATTTATAATGTGTTTATCTTCTCCTTCAAGGTAACCTAAATGTTTCTCATGTGGTAATTTGTGTTATCTTTTTTTAAAGCCTCACCCAAGGATATTTTTCCATTGATTTTTAGAGAGAATGGAAGGAAGAGAGAGGGGGAGACACACACACACACACACACACACACACACACACAGAGAGAGAGAGAGAGAGAGAGAGAGAGAGAGAGAGAGAGAGAGAGAGAGAGAGAGAAAGAGAAATATTGATAGCAATGTGAGAGAATACATTGATTGGTTGCTTCTCCTTGTGCCCCGACCAGGGCTTGTAGCCTTCAACTAAGGTATGTGCTCTTGCCTGGAATCGAACTTGGGACCCTTCCATCTGCAAGCCGACGGATGCTCTATCCACTGAGCCAAATGGGTTAAGGCTAGCGTCATATTCTTAGTTTTAGCACCTACTATTGGTTGGAAAGTAACATTATCTTGGGTTTATTTATTACTACTTAATGTTTATGTGGTGTATTCTCATATTATCCCTGAGCACAAGTTAGGTGTAATCCAATGAAAAGACAGGGAAATAAGTCTGGGTAACTTTAGGAAATTCTGAATTATATGCTTTATAAATGTCTAAGAATTGTGCGGTTGTCGATGCTTTTAAAATGCAGGAAAAAAGATTAGGAGGACAAGAGAAGATTTAGAAGAGGGAACTGGCAAAGCTGTGGAGGAAGGAACACAAAGATATGGCTGGTGTGGGCCCTTAGGTGCTTAGGTGCCAAGAACATTGATTTGAAATCTCATTTGGAACCTCCAATTTAAGCATAGTTGTTGGGTGTTTTTCCTGTACTAATACAGAAGAATCATTTCAGTCATTTGTTATCAGTGAACATATATTGAGTATCCCAAAGTTTTTATATAAACTAGGTGACTTTGGGCCTGAGAGCACAGGAGGAGGGAGTTTGGGTGGTGGAAGTGGATGGGGGCAGAGGAGGATGGAACCTGGGCTCTGGGATGGGCAGAGATGGTAAAATTTCAGCTTGAGCATCTGCTGGGTGTGACTTTGGGCAGGTTCATTGACCTTGGAGAGTCTGTCTCCCTATTTGAATGGTGGGGTTCTATCAAGAGGGAAGCAAAAAGCAGTGTCTGGTACATGAGAGGAGGTTCCTAGTTCTTTTCTAGGAACAAGGCACAGGTTTTTCATAAGAGAGAGAGAGAGAGAGAGAGAGAGAGAGAGAGAGAGAGAGAGAGAGAAACAGAGAGAGAGAGAGGGGAGGGGCAGGAATAGGAGGAGGGGGAAAAGGAGAGGGAGAAGGGAGAAAGAGAGAAACATCGATGTGAGAGATAAACATTGACTGATTGCTTTCCCCTGACTGGAGTCAAACTGGCACCTTTTGATACTCAACTAACTGAGCCATGCCAATGGGCAAAGCTTGAGTTTTAAAAATCTTTGTGCTAAGAAAAGATGTGTGTATATGAGGGGGGAGGTTGGTCCCAGACAAGAGTGATTAAAAGTCCTTGTTCTAGCTGAAGACTGGGTAAGATTCAAGGAATACTCTAAACTCCCTCCCATTTATCAGCACCATAGGATATTAGCTTAACTCTTCTTTGTTCTGGACATTGCATTACGTTTGGCGACTTGGATGAATCTATATAAAGATTAATACTTTCTCCTTTTCATACATGCTTCATAATAGCCCCTCACAAATACTATATTGGATTCCGGTACGTCCACCCTTTAACAGAAGAAGCAATTGAAGAGATGGAGAGAGATGGGCTTGAAAGGGCTATTGCTTTCACACAGTACCCACAGTACAGCTGCTCCACCACAGGTAAGGGTTTCTTACAGTAGGAGGGTGGACAGGGATCTGGCAGAAAGAGCCAGGAACCTGAGTGTGGAAGGAAAGGATAAATCCTTTGTGATTTGAATGGCAAATCCAGCCTGTCTGCTTTAAACTCGAGAGTTCAGGTCAGTCCATTTGAAATCTCATGGTTCATCTGTCCCTTGAGTTATTGGCCAATTGGCTAAGAATTACAAATGGCGGTGGAAGGCGGTGGCTGCTAGTGTTCATTGCTTTAAGGCAGCGATTTCAACCAGGGCACCGCAAGAATTTTTAAAACACGCAGTATCTGATTATTTAGTCAAGGGCACTGACCTCTTTTCCCTGAGTTTGTAAAAAAAAAAAAAAAGACAACAGCCTACACAACAGTAGCAGCCTGGTATGAATGAATCAGAATTATACCTTTTTCTTGTCAGATTGGCTATATATATATATATATATATATATATATATATATATATATATATTTAGTGTGCTGCAGAATTTTAGTAATTAGTTTATATGTGCCATGAGGTGAAAAAGGTTGAAAATCACTGGTATAATAGATCAGGATTAAGCACTTTCTATTATTTGTATAATAAACTGATAGTTATCGATACCCTAATAGTCTTATGAATATAGCAAAGGTGATCACTGTTTACATTTTAAAAACCCATAGAATATTGGGAACAATGTTATTTTTTGTTGTTATTGTTATGCTTCAGTTATGGGGGTTGGTTACTAGTTAAATCAAAGTCCAATTTGAGGTTTCCTCTGCAAACTTAGGATTCTAGATTCATGTCATTTCCTATGTTTAACAGGAGCAGGAAAGTAATCTGCCAATCCCTGTCTCATCAGTTGTGGGTGAAGCTTCTGCTGTCACCGACACATACCTTTGTTTGTATTCTGTTTCAAGGATCGGAGTCAGCACACTTTTACTCCCAAATTGCTTTTGGCTATCAGTGTCTGTTATTTTATTACTCTAAGGAGAAGCAGAAGGCCTCTGGCAGACCTGCTGTGGTTAGGCGCCTATGAAAACGCTTGAGCTCTCAGACATTCTCTGCCGTCGGCACTGTGATTTCCTTTGGAAATCTACCTCTCCAACCTCAGCATGTCCGGTGATATGTTACTGGGGAAGGAATCAGATTTTTTAAATACCTAAGACATATTTTTTTTGGCCTTATTTTAAAAATATATCTCAACATGTAAATGCTCTCAAAATTAGACAACTTAAGAAGATCGTTACTTATATGACGAAGGATCAACTGTGAGTTTCATTACATGGCTGGCTCTGTTCGTGTGTTTAAAACACCCAAGGCTGTGCAGTTTTTCTCCAGTATAGCTCATGTGCACGCTTCTTCACTTCAGAGATGTGAGAGCCTTCGGGAAGCACATTCATGCTTTGAAATCACTGGAGTGTCTTTTTCTATTGCATCTTGTAGACATACATTGTGGCAGAGCCAGTATATTCTGTATATCCATCACAAGTTATACTTTCCTCTTAATTACTACTTCTAGTAGTTCATGGAATGGTTCTGAGTGACCTAGGGCAACTTATATGGCTTCCAGAACCTGGAATAGACTCAGCTTGGATTCTCCTGGTTCATTGTATTCTACTCAACAACGTGAACTCATTTTGTTTTTTAAAGTTGAGTGTTAGCCTAAGAAGACTAGCATTATAAGTTGGGAACCTAACAGATGAATAGTTCTCATAGTCAGAGAAACCAGTGGATTGGTGTTGGGAAGCATGAAATGTTTTGGAGCTTTTGCTCTACATTAAGATTGAAGAAGAGTCCTTGTGTTAGGATCAGTTTCATAGGATTAAGGCTTGGCCCCAGTTTCAGCTCCCCTAGGCCAGGATAAAATTGTACTGTGGCAGTACCATTTACCTCCTGTTAAATTTTCATAATTTCCCCATCTCTTCCTTAGAAGTATATGTTTTGTTAGATTCATAAGATATGGTTTTGATACCCATTTAACTTATTCTAGAGGATGATGAAAATGTTGTAAAAGCAGGTAAAAAATAGAGTGCTGCCAAAGCTGGTTTGGCTCAGTGGTAGAGCGTCGGTCTGCGGATTGAAAGGTCCCAGGTTCGATTCCGGTCAGGGGCATGTGCATTGGTTGCGGGCACATCCCAGGTAGGGAGTGTGCAGGAGGCAGCTAGTCGATGTTTCTCTCTCATCGACGTTTCTGGCTCCCTATCTCTCTCCCTTCCTCTCTGTAAAAAATCAATAAAATATATTAAAAAAAAAATAGAGTGCTCATAGAAACCTCAATAAGCTGCTGTTTTTATCAAAAAGCCATTAAAAAGGATGGTTATGAAGCTTTTTTTATAATGTGGGAAATACTCTTCTCATAAAAAATGCCCCAAATACTCAGGGCACAAAATTGCATACATATTAAAATTACAACTTTGTAAAACAAGATAGCTAAAAAGAAATATAACTGGAAAGAACTATGCTTGCATAAAACAACGATGTATTAGTAAAATGGGAATAATGGCTGGCTTCTTTCCTTCTCTCCCACCCCCTACATTTGCTGTAATGGGGTTGATTACCTTCACGGTGGGAAAACAATCTCGACATGCTTTTAATTGTAAAACTTGGTCGCTGCAAATAATGACCACTAATATTTCATAAATCCATTGCCACCGTGTTTCTCACTAGAAATGACCTCAATAATCTCTGAAAGGCCGTTGAAATGGATTGCTTTTTAGTGATCTTCATTTGCAGGACAGTGAAGTCTGAATGCATTTTAGAGCATTGGGATGATTGTGGTTGGACTGGCTCAGTATAGAAGCGGTGGCCAATTTTAAACTTATCATTACTGCCTTTATTAGTCTTGTTATTTTATTTTCACTGTAGTCAATAGGCACCTACTAAGTGGCCCCCTGCCTATTTCAGGTAGCAGCTTGAATGCCATTTACAGATACTATAATCAAGTGGGAAAGAAGCCCATGATGAAGTGGAGCACAATCGACAGGTGGCCCACGCATCCCCTCCTCATTCAGGTAAGCCAGAGCCTACCAGCACCCCAGCTTCTGTGTCCGTCCCAGTTTTTTTACACGTGTCCGTCCCTCTGAGCCTCATGGTTCTCTTACTTACATTGTATTCTGGGGATTAAAAAAAGGATTATTGTGACAAGAGAAAATACTTTCAAAGATTAAAGGTTAGACTCTTTTCTTCCTTCAGGTTAATACTGTTAGTCACAAACCATAGCAGAATTACATTTTGAGTTTGGCGTTTCCCAGTGACCAGAAGAACATCAAAGATTACGCAAGGTGTTTCTGCTAATGTACATTCATAGACTGAATGGCGGACAAATAAGCCCTCTGTGTTCTAAATCCTTTAAAATATCAAAAATTTTAAAACCTAAAGGTAATATATCTACATGTTCTCAGACATGAAAAGAAATTTAACATTTCAATCAAGAAAGTTTTATATGTTAGAAATTTCAAAATTCTTCTATGCCATTTGTATTTATAATATTTACATTAATAGATGACATTAGGAGAACAGTGATAAGTACAATTCTGAAGTCAATGGGTTTTTAAAAATTTATTTTATTTTTCAGTTACAATTTACAGTCAACATAATTTTGTTTTAGTTTCAGGTGTGCAGCATAGAGATTAAGATAGTCATATCCTTTACACAGTGGTCCCCCAATGTTTCCAGTACATAATTATTATATTAGCGTTGACTGTATTCCCTATATAGCATTGCCAACCTTTTGGACTTCATGGACCACCAGTTGGCTACCGCTGCCCTACACTGCTCTTTATATCCCTTAGATTATTTTGTGACTAACAATTTGTACTTCTTAATCCCCTCACCTTTTTCAGCCAGATCCCCAACCCTCCTCTTCTCTGGCAACCATCAGTCTATTCTCCTTATCTATGAGTCTGTATCTGTTTTGTTTGTTTATTTTGTTCTTTAGATTCCACATATAAGTGAAATTATACAGTATTTCTTTTTCTTTGACTTATTTCACTTAGCATAGTACTAAGTCCATCCATGCTGTCGCAAATGGTAAAATAGCTTTAACTAGCTTTCATTCATTCATTTTAATATCTTTTTTTGCCCTCTGAATACAAGAGCATTGCTATAAATGCCCTATATCACACAGATATAGTTTGGTTCTGCTAGAGGAAGTTTCTGCTTTTCAGATAGTTGAAGTAGGAGAAAAATTAAGTGATTCAGATTTCACCCAGTTTATGTTTCATTCCTTGGACATTGTCTGACTGGCAAAATACCAACTTAACATCTTTTTTAAAAGCCTGAAAACATTTAAAATCTGTAACCGCTAGATGGTGCTAGACATCATTAAAAGCAGGCCAGCTTGTTTCCTCAGGTTTGTAGAAGTCACGGGTTAACCCTTAGGTTGAAATTAGGTTTCAAGTAAAAAGTGAACAGAAGGCACCTTCCTGGAGATGGGTGTGGTTTTGCTTCTGCACGCGCGCCCCCCCCCCCCCCCCTGTCGTCTGCTGGTCCGGTCAGTACCATTGGAGCCCCAGCGAGCTGCAGCTCTTGCTCTCGGAGGCCTGGACTGGAAATGAGGGGTGTTTCAGGTCAGCACTGACATGTGGTAGGGAACTGTGGAGTCTGCACAGCATCTGCCTGCCCTGATCCAGTGAGTAATTAGATTTGCATTAAAATTCAGCCATTTGAAAAGGGGGAAGCAGAAAGATGGAAAGGTCTCTTAACTGAGGAAGTCTCCGTTCACAAAATGAAAGGGGATCTCAGAGGCATTTATCTGCCCCCTGGATGCTGTGATTGAAGGCTCTGAGAGCCGCCTGCCTCTTTCATTCTGCTGAGGGATTGCATGGAGAAAATACCACAGATGGATTCTAGATGATTTAAGTAGCACTTGGACTTGCCCACGGCTCCTCAGTTTTGACGGTGGCTTAGGGCCTGTTGTAAGCCGGAACAAATTGTGTTTGTACTCGCAGGTTTGCAAGATGAGAAAAGGAAAAATATTAAACTTCTTTGGAAACAAAAAAATTGACACGTAGATTTTATTCTTAATATGATGTAGATTACATGAGAAGCAGAAATAACGCACAGACCCAAACCTAGACCCTAACCTAAAACTATAGTTAAAAACTGCAACTAAAAATTTTAAATCAACATTCCCACTTATTACAGGCAGTAATTACGTAAAATGGTCATTTTAGTGCTGTTCCCAGCAGTCAGGATAATTGGAGTAAGTGGATGTTCTGGGTTCCTACGTGAACTTCACAGTGGGCCTCCTCACCTAGGCTTTTGTCCAGAAGTAATCCTTTGTGAGCATCCTTAGTTTCCAAACACTGCATAAGACTACCGGAAAATCCCGTTTTTGTCTGCATCTACTCCTGTCACATCCTATAAGTCAATTATACATTTGAAAAGGGAACTAACTCTCTAGGTGCCATTTTGTGCCTTGGAGCATTTATTTACCAGTTTTTGAGGGTTCTGTAAAGATGAACAATATCTCAGTATTTATTGAGGAATAATTTGTTCATCCTAAATTGGTATATATCCACATACCAACGAGTATAAATTTACTTGGTTCTGGTAAATTGTCCTTTATAATGGTTTAAAAACTTTTTATTTGTTGGGCCAGGAGGGGTCAATGGGAGGAAAAAGGGGGCATATGTAACACTTTCAACAATAAAGATTTAAAACAACAATAAAAAAACCCTTTTTATTTGGAAATAATTTCAAACATGCAGAAAAGTCTACTGTTTACCTAGATTCACATAGTATTAATATAAACATTTATTTCTGTACATATATATCTATATATATACATATTCATATCTAAAAAATCACTCTATAGATAAATTGCAGGAAGATTTTCTTCTATAACCATGATAGAGTATTCAATTTCAGTAAATTTAACATTGATTAATTTATCTAATCCATGTTTATATTAAAATTTTGTCAATTGGCCCGTTAATGTCCTTTGTAGCATTTGCTTTATAAGTGAAATGACAAAGAATGATTAAAGTGTAAGATGAAAGAAAGCCTCCTCAGATCTGGTATTTCAGCACCTATTGATGTGAGTCGGAAAGTGCCAACTAGACGAAGGGAATTAACTGGTCTGGTCGGCAGAGCTTTGGGGGAGGAGACAGGCCTGTGTTCTAGCCCAAGTTCCGCAGATGTGACTGAATGGGCCCCCAAGCCTGTGCATCTTTCCGCCCTCTGTGGATTTAATGGGAGTTTTACAACCTCTCATCTGTTGTTGTGAAGGTTGTTATGAAGATTGACTCAGTGAGGATATTGGGCTCAGAAGGAAAAGGTCATAAAAATAGATGATATTTTCTTATTCCTCTACTATTTCTGTCTAATGCATTTTAATGCAATATGCCTGAAAGCCAAACTAAGGAGATTCAGAAAGACCCTGTAAGCTGTTTTCCTGCTAACCGAGCAAATGAGAGGTCTTAAAACAACTTCTCCTTCCCATCTGTGTTTCCTTTCCATCTGGAAGTGTGCCCCGCTCCTCCCAGGGGACAGCAGATCCAGAGCGTTCATTTTCAGTGAGCCATTAGCGAGCGTTAGAAGTTTCCCATCAAATTCCCCAGGCCCCTGAACCCGTTAGGAGCCATTTTGATGATGAACCAAAGCAAGAGAGACCGTACTGTTTGCAATTTTTCAAAAAGAGAGTTCCGGGTTTTGAGGATTGCTCTGACATTTTTGGTGTGGCTCTCATTTTAAAAATATTGTCTTTCCCTTCCACCTCGTTCTTCCCACTTGCTCCTGATCCTCCTTTCCCGGCATTCCCGCAGTGCTTCGCAGACCACATTCGGAAGGAGCTAGACTGTTTTCCACCAGAGAAGAGAAGCGAGGTGGTCATTCTTTTTTCCGCCCACTCACTGCCAATGTCTGTAAGTAAGAACATTTTGTTGGATGACCTCGTGGTAGAGGATTTCTCAGTGTGTAACATGGACACAGTTTCTACAATATCCTGGATTCTAAAATCTCAGGCGTAATGTGGTGCTCATTTAACCTGATTCACTCCTTGAGACCTAATAATGATTCATTCCAATTATAATATTTATAATTTATAATACTGTGTAAAAATCATAACCACCTGAAGATATAGTCACATATAAGGCTTTTTAATAAGTGGCACAGTAGACTACTCTGACCTGCCTGATGTTTTGGCGGCTTGATCGTTGACCCTCCATTCAGATGGGGGGCTCTCAATCTCTTTCTTTTGTCCTCAAGACTTGACAGGGTTTTCTGAATTCCAGGAAGCGAGTACAGGTTGTTGCTGTTTTTTGGTTTTTTTTTCTTTTAAATATATTTTATTGATTTTTTTACAGAGAGGAAGAGAGAGAGATAGAGTCAGAAACATCGATGAGAGAGAATCATCAATCAGCTGCCTCCTGCACACCCCCCACTGGGGATCCACCGCAATCACGGTACATGCTCTTGACTGGAATCGAACCTGGGACCCTTCAGTCAACAGGTGGACGCTCTATCCGCTGAGCCAAACCAGTCTCGGCAAGTTGTTGCTGTATTATAGTCCTCACCTGAGGATGTGTTTTTGTTTTTGTTTTTAAAATTGATTTTAGAGATAGAAAAAGTGGAGGGGGGAGAAGGAGAAAGAGAAAGAGAAAGAGAAAGAGAGAGAGAGAGAGAAAGAGAGAGAGAGAGAGAGAGAGATATCCATTGGTTGCCTCCCATATGTGCCCACACTGGGAATTGAAGTGGAAACTTTTTGGTGTGAGGGATGACACTCCAACCAAATGAGCCACCCTGCTGGGCACGATTGCAGTTTTTAACTTGCTTAGACCAAGGACCACGCTTGGGCAAGCGAATACAAGAGTGCATAGGAACAAGGATGATCCAGCAGGTGTGCCGTCTTAATACACGGAAGTGCTTGGAATATCAGCCAGTTTCATCAGCTTAGAACTAGCATCCTGTCCTACAGACATTGCTTCCAAAGCTGGAGAGGTGGAGAATTTCATCTTCTTGGGTGTTATCAAGGTTTTAATTCCAGGGCTAATGGCGTTAATGAGAGGCTGGGCCGCTCTTCTAATTGGCTTTACTGCCACCTTGTGGTCACCAGGGTCGAGCCCCGAGCCCTTTGCAGCTTCTTCCTCTCCTACATCTCAGCTAAGCAGTTGCCCTTTCAGCAGAATGTGGCCCTGGAGAGCCATTTCTCTCCTCTGGAAGCCTGCCTGTTTCATTCGAACAGGTTCCTAGTCTCTTTTTCTGGCATTATGCAAATCCTCTTCACGTGTCCATCTTCTTTCTCCACCCTCATCCTGTTTGTAACTGTCCTGGTGTGATGAGGCCACATCTGAAGTGCCAGAAGGAAGGCACTTGAACTGGGGAAGGAAGAAACACATTTTTACACATGAACGTTTCCAGGTGCTGCCTTCTGTTCTCTCACCCTCAGCCCCACTTCTCTTCCCCCGCCAGGTCTGGGCGTGCTGCTCCCAGGTTTTTTTTTTTGTTTGTTTGTTTTTTTTTTGCTTCCCAGGGTTCTGTGTGGGACTGAGGAATGCCATGAAGTTATGAGGATAAGAAAAGGGTGGGGAGAGCGAGGGCTTGCCGAGGAAGAAAATGGATGTAGCAGGCCATTCTTACCCCTACATTCCCTCCCCCTCCTTCATGGCTTTTAAAAATACTACTTATTATTTGAAAATATTTGTTGCAAAAATAGTGCCATATCCCCTTCACGTGGCTGCGCCTGCGGTTGATGCCTCATATAACCATGAACCATGGGCAGCACTGCTTACCGAAGGCCAGGCTCCCCTCGGGGTTCACCACTTTTTCACCAGGTCCTTTCTCTGGTCCCGACGGAACCCAGGACCCCTCCTCACATTCAGTTGTCCTGTCTCCTCGTGTCCTCCCATCTGTCTTTGTCTTTCATGACCTTGATAGTTGTGAAGAGTGATTTTGTAGAACGTCATCTGTTAGGTAGCATGCTCTCCTGTTTGGACGTGTCTGGTCTTTCTTCTTGATTACCCTGAGGTTGTGCCTTAGAGAGAAGAATTCCTCAGGGGTGACCTGTCCTCAGAGCATCATCTCGGGGTATGTAATGACACATGTGCCTTACTGCTGGTGTTATGATGGTTGGTCCTTCGTCACAGGTGGATTGTCCATAAGGTAGTTATTCTTTTCCTTTTTGTAATTAAGCCTATCTTAGGGAAGAGTCTTTGAGACTACCCAAGTGTCTTATTTATCATATTTTTGCCCTTTAACTTAACATCCATCACTGGATTTTTTTCCTGTAGCAATTATTTCTGTGCTTTTCTGATGGTGACTTTGTATTTCCCTCTTTCCTTCTACATTTATCCTTTTAATGGTTTTTTAACTAGTTTATAGTAGATCATAAAATAGTTCATCAGTATTTCATGTCAACAGTATTTATTGAGAACCTACTATATTTCAGGCACTGTCCTATCCACTGTTACAGAATCTGGGAATGAACAAAATAGACATAATTCTTTGCCCCCAAAGAGTGGAGAAAACAGATAATAAACATAATACATAAGAAAATATTGTGGTATATTAGGAGATAATAAGTGTTTCACTGAGGAGAAATACAGCAAGGTAAGAGTGTTAGGGAGTCAGCATGAAACTAAATAATAAATCAGTAAAAATACAATTTTATTAAACATTTTCAAGGTAGTAAGCTGTTCTATCAGAAGCGTTTATCAGACATTCGCCGTGCACAAAGCATTTGTCTATATTCCATTGTTGTAGGAAGAGGAATTGGAATAGGTCAAAGAAGAAGAAGAAGATGGAGAAGGAGGAGGAGGGGGAAGGGGAAGGAAAAGGGAAGGAAGAAGAAGGCACTGGTCATATCCTTCAGGACTTTGAAATCTGAGCCCATGTGCTGCTGCTTTCGTCTCTCTTATTCCACTGGCGTTTACCTCTGTTCTTTCCCTGAACCCCATAAACTCAGTTCTATATGCTGTCCACACAATCCTCTTTTAATTCCTTTCCAAAGTCAGCCACGCCAGTGACTACCAAGGTAGAAGTCTCATCCCATATTGACTCCTCCTTCCCAGCTCTGTGTCATTCATTCCCCTGTTTCAAATGGAGGCACAGAGAGATCCATCCTCCATTGTTACACATTGTCAGTTTCCCACGGATAACATGGGACATAGAATTTGACATTTTCTTAGGGTCCTTAGAGATGATTGGCCTTTGGCCAATGAAGAAGTGGATCCAAGGAAGTTTGACCATTGAGCTCAGATTGCTTTGTCGTTAGTGCAGAAGACAGAGGGGAGGACTCTGGTCCAGGGATTACCTCCTTCAGCTGCACAGTCCAGGCTCTTGGAACCCTTCACAAGATTGCGACTGAACACCCATGTGCCTCTGCTGCAGGTGGTCAATAGAGGGGACCCGTATCCTCAGGAGGTGGGCGCCACTGTCCAGAAAGTCATGGAGAAGCTGGGTTACTCCAACCCCTACCGGCTGGTTTGGCAGTCCAAGGTGAGTGGCTTCCACACACTGTGGGCTGTCGGCTCTTTTGAGGACACCTATCTTAAGACTTAGTTATGAAACGGTTCGAGTTGGCTCTTTCATACGCCCAGGCTGGGTGTAACCTGATTGCTTGCCATGGGCAGAAAGAACTCTGCCTGCCAGTCTGATGGGGAGGGGAAATGGAATGACTAGCTGAGTTCCATTGACTTACTGTATTATTCCTAGTTGTAGTGACAGAACTGGTATGTATAGCCTGCCATTTCTAGAAGGATTCAAGCTTCAATATGGAAATACCAAAGCCCAGTGAAGCAGGTGTAAAGCATGGCCCTTGCTCCCAAGGAAGGTGTGCCCGGGGCAGAGCTGGGCCCGACAGAGGGAAAAGTGGGGCCATTGGCACGCAGCCTCCTTTCTCCTAGGTTGGTCCGATGCCCTGGCTGGGTCCTCAGACAGACGAGACCATCAGAGGGCTTTGCGAGCGGGGCTGGAAGAACATCCTCCTGGTCCCCATCGCGTTCACCAGCGATCACATTGAAACTCTGTATGAACTGGACATCGAGTACTCTCAGGTTCTAGCTAACGAGGTAATGCTGCCGTCTGCCCTATTAATTCCACCGCGATGGGTTTTAAAGGGAAACTCTCTGTCGGGATCTAACTGTGTCACTCAAAAATATTGCTTGGCATATGTGTTTGCAGGTCCTCGGTCCTCCTTGTTCTGAATAATACTTAATCTGAGTAAGAAATCTGACCACATCGAGTCAGTCCCACTTCCGCGGTGGGGAAGCACTTTTGTGCCATTCTGAATTGGGCCCATTGTGGGCATGGTCACTGTGTTTAATTTGGGTAGTGTACTACTTGAAAGTAATAAACACTACATTTCCTTAAGAAAAAATCATTGTACTTCTCACCAGTCTGGAGGAAAAAGATTTTATTGTTATATAATTCCTTTTCTTCACTTAATAGTGTCCCTTGGGTTTATGAGGCATCGAGGAGTCATTGTCATTTAGGAAAAGAGCATGTCATTTTCTCGACCACTTTTTTTTTCTTTTTATGCACTTAATTAGCTGTTTACTCCTGTGTTGTTATCAATCTGATTATTGAAATAACAAATACCATGCTTCGTGTCTTGTAATGGAAGATGGATGTGAATTGTTGTTCAGAGTGGAGAAAAACTGTGGCTCCCCATCTCACAGGTCCTGAAGGTCGGTCTGAAACCTGAGTCCAATTGATAGCATTGTTTCTGTGGGGATTGTGGAGGCACTAGGACCAAGAAGCCCTCCCCCGTCTTCTGCCAGAACTCCTGTCCCTGGTCATCTAGTGTGATTGATGGAGGCCTGGCCTCGAAGGATCCTTCACCCTCTCTGGGACAGGGTGGCAGGTGCAGGGCCGGGTGGAGAGTGGGTTGGAGGCGAGCTTCAGCCAGTACCCGACCCCACAGGTTTTTGTGTGCACGCAGGCCATCAATCAAGCGCTGATGAAGTTAGAGGGTGCCTAAATTACGTGTCAGTAGTTCTGATAAAGAATTTATGGGGAAGTTGTAATTGGCTAAAATGAGGTTTCAGGGCTGTCCATGGATCTCATTTAATGATGCCTTCCATTTCCCACCATGACCTAGGCTAACTGTCAGCTCGCTGAGAAGACTTTAAGTGCAGTGTGTACTTTTTTGTTTCTATTGAATGATAATTCACATTCATTCATTTTAGTAAACACATCTTACTAATCCATGGATTATTAGTGACTAATAAATTAGTCCTTGTGGAGAATAAAGAAAACCATCTAGCTACAATTTATTATTTTGATGAGAAGATATTCTGTTTAAACCAACTAACTTTTCTTTAAAAAGTAGTTTGAATGTTTTCCTCAAATAGAAATAACTTCACTGCTTTTTGATATTAAAAATAATAGAGCTCAGACAGTTGAGAGAAGTAAAATATTGAGAGTAGAACTCACTCAGAATCCTACCCTTCAGGCATAATATGTTAATGTTTTGGTAAAAATAAGACCCTTTTTTCCTCTATATGTGTGTGTGTGTGTGTGTGTGTGTGTGTGTATTTTACACATTTAACAAAATGGCATTTTATTCCTAATATTTTGTAGCCTTTTTTTTCTTAAAAATATATTATGGACCTTATCAATAAATAATTATATCTAAGTAATAATTTTTAACAAATTCTTAATTAGTATACATTAAAGATGTTTCTGATTTTAAAAAAATATATATTTTATTGATTTTACACAGAGAGGAATTGAGAGGGACAGAGAGTCAGAAACGTCGATGAGAGAGAAACATTGATCAGCTGCCTCTTGCACACCCCCCACTGGGGATGTGCCCACAACCAAGGTACATGCCCTTGACTGGAATCGAACCCGGGACCTTTCATTCCACAGGCCGACGCTCTATCCACTGAGCCAAACTGGTCCCGGCTGTTTCTGATTTTTTACTGTCTTATACTGCTCTGTGATAAACATTTCCTTTTTTATTTTCCCCATTATTTTCTGAAGATCCATTCCTAGAAATGGAATGTAAATGTTGACATATTTTATTTCATTTCCCTACAGAAATGTGTCCTTCAATGTTCCCATCAGCAGTGTCTAACACTTGGCCACCTCCGGTTACCCTGCTGATGCTGACTTCTCCATGAAGTTTTAGACTGCAGTCTCTTGTTGAGAACTGTGTGTTAACTGAACCTCAGCCTTTCCCCCAAACCAGTCTTCTGATGTTAATGCTGACTGGAAAGATAAAGCACCTGAAAAGCCATCAGCATTTTGGAAAGGGAAAGAGAAGATCCTAACTACCTGAATAAATAATAATGAGATATTTCTTACTTATTTGGGGGATAATTAACTAGATATTTTTGGAGAGGAGAGCAAGGATGGTACTAAAACAATGCTCAGACTTTTATTTTAGATTTTTTAAATGTCAGAGTATATTTAAAATACCAACTCTAAATTGGATCATGTACATTAAATTAATTTACCTCTTTTGACACTTGGAATCAAAACAGATATAAAAATGTACTTATATCAACATTCTGCTTATGTAGAATCTATAAAGGTGTGCACTAGAAAGATACAATAAAAAAAAGAGTGGTAAGCAGACTTAAATTACTTGGGCATTGTATCAAATACACCCTCAAAAATGGTATGGAAACAAAGCACCTATGGGAAGGTACTGGGTAGGGGGAGGAATAGAAATTGAAGAGCCATTTTGTGATAATGGTTGAAAATCAGCATATGGCTTGGTCCTGTGAATGTTTCATTTCTGAGCAATGTTAGAATTCTTTTGAAGTAAGACTTTGAATTGTGTGTGTGTGTGTGTGTGTGTGTGTGCACGAGCGTGTGTTCTATAGCAGTCAGTTTCTTAAAAAAAAAAAAAAAAAAAAAGCACAAGGAAAATAAAACATGTATGTGTTTTTCCTCCCTTTTCTCATTTGATTCAGTGTGGAGTTGAAAACATCAGAAGATCCGAGTCTCTTAATGGAAATCCATTGTTCTCTGAGGTATCTCTGGTCTTACAACCCTTTTAGTAGAACATATCGGAGAGTAATCCTCTGAGAAACTCGCTCAGAATATTGGTTTTTCTCACATATTAGAACATTTTGAGGTCCAATTAATTACAAAAGTAAAATCGAAATCCTTATCCTCTCACTCCCTTTTCCTTTGGAGAGCCCCCATTTTCTGACTTCTATCCACCTACCATTGTCTGATTTAAAAGTCTGCCTTTCAGAGACCGACGAGGTTTAGCGGGCGGGGTAAGAGGATTTCACTCTCTAAAGTCTCTATTTTAAGTTTTCTCCAAGCTGAGGATGCTCAGGAGAGAAAGATATTGTGGAACGTGATTCAAAGGGTTCATCATTCAGATTAAAGGAAACCCCAAGCCACAGTGATTATCAGAACAGATGGGAGAGGAAATGCATGGGTGGGGGAGACAGCAGACTTTTTGTTCTGATGAATCTTTGCCTCTTGTCACCCGCCTTGCAGGCCCTGGCCGATTTGGTGCACTCACACATCCAATCAAACGAGCTGTGCTCCAAGCAGCTGGTTCTGAGCTGCCCGCTCTGCGTAAATCCTGTCTGCAGGGAGACTAAATCCTTCTTCACCAACCAGCAGCTGTGACACCCGCCGGAGGACCCCGTGGGATTAGGCAGATGCCAACCTGCAGATATCTCCCACTCGGAGGACGCGGCGGAGGAAGGAAGCCACAGTAGAACATGGACAGCCTAGGGGCACACACCGAGTGATTTCTTGAGGAACGACTCTGAAATCCTTATTGAGGGTTTTCTTCTTTATATGCCAATACAGTAAACACAATTAGTAAACAAAATTACTCATTTGGAACGGCCACTGTGCTACTTACACCCTGAATTTTAAAAATTTATCTTAGGAGATGCACACATATTTTAAATATAGATTTTGATTTTTATTGCCCAAAAAAACCCTACAAGGGGACAGAGAGTCCTGGCAGTGTGAATGAGGTCTGCTTACAGGTCTTCTGCATAGAGGTGTTTTTTTTTTTGTTTTTTTGTTTTTTTAAGTGAACATAGTTGAGCAAATGCAATATAATTTGGGGGGAAAAAAAGTTACCTAATTTTTCCTAGGCCCATGGGTTACAGAATGCTGGTGAGGCTGGTGAGGGCTGCTTTTGCCAGTGCTGTGACCTTTCATGGTCATTTGGTTCTAATGTGTGAACCTCACTTTCTTCACCATCAAACCAAATCAAGGCAGATTCCGCAGGCACACAAGACTAATAAACGTGTAAAAATCCAACTTTGGTCATCGGTGCCTGGGGGGGGATCTGTGCCACGAGAGAGGGGGCTCCTGCTGCCTCTTGTCTCCGAGGCCTCGATGCCGGGAAATGCTGATGATGCCATTCACTGTTCAAGCTCCTCCCAGGACCTGGGGACCTTTCCTTCAATCATCTTTGTCTTGGCTGACTATCTCTTTTCTGCACAACATTTGAAGAATTATTTTTATAAAGTTAACTGTGTTTTGTAACCTTGAATTTTCTTAATTTACGATTTTAATTGCAACATTATATTACATGCAATAGGAAATTTGAAAAGTAGAGAAAAGAAAAATAACCACTCTAATGCAACAGCTAGTACTTCATATTATCTTTCGTGTCATTCTTTTCCTGTGGGTGTTTTTAAGGCCACTGTAACCTTGAATTTGAGTGAAAAGTTCTAAAAATGTAGAAATAATATAGGATCAGAGTCTGATCTTCTGTACTTGGGTTTGAATGGATTAAAAAAAAGTCTCTGATAGATCTGTAATGAATTGGTAATGATTACTTTGTCTTTCTTCAGTGTCCTAAAACTTTGTTCTTCAAAAGAGCATTGCTTTGATTTTGTAAAAATCCTGTTCCTGAAGTGGAAGTATTAATGGAGTCATAGATCTTCTATATTCAGGATTTACTATATTAATCAATATTATGACATTATTAAGGTTTTAACCAGTTTGATTCATGCTGTCTGTGAAATCAAAACTAATCCAAATTAGTTAACAATCAAAATTATCGAATCGGGACTTACTTTGTAATGCTTGTCCTCTCTTGTTCATAGTAGGCTCACACTGATAGTGGCTCTGAAATTTAAGTAGCATCTATATATTTTTTCAAATTGGTTTTGCTATTCATAGATTGTGTTCTCAGATAAAGTACAAAGTATTTCTTTAGAATTTTCCTCATCTGTTTCCATCAGCTTTTTGGGGAGTAGGTTCAAAGCAGACTTTGAGTGGCTGTCCCACATGAATTGAATTCTCTGGGTTAGTATCCTGATGCTGAAGGCAAGTTATACTTGTGGCCATTCTCCCCACTTCAGGAAATTTCCTGAGGGTTTACCTCACTTGGACTGCTTTAGAGTCAAATATATTATTATAGGGATGTTATAGAAAATTCCAATTCAAGAGCTCTTGAGAGGGTACCCGAGTTGCCTCATTTGTCAAGGAAGCTTCCAAATTACCCTTGAGCTGTCTGGAGTACTATCATTGATTCTGAGTTGGGTTCTGACTGGCCTTTGTAGGAAGAGGCTAAGAGGGATTTATTGAGATAACTGTCCATGGCATTAGTTTTTCTAAGAAGTGTTACCTCTGACTTATTAACCAAAGATGGGTAAGGGTCATACGTGAGGGTAGCATTTGAAAGGTCATATGTGAGGGTAGCAATTGTTCTTTTTATAAAAATATGTATTTTTATTGATTCCAGAGAGGAAGGAAGAAGGAGAGAGAGATAGAATTAGAAACATCAACGATGAGAGAGAATCATTGATTGGCTGCCTCCTGCACACCCCACACTGGGAATTGAGCCCACAACCCCGGCATGTGCCCTTGATTGCAATCAAACCCAGGGACCCTTCAGTCCGCAGGCCAATGCTCTATCCACTGACCCAAACTGGCTAAGGCGCAATTGTTCTTTTTAGAGCTTATAATAGGCTTTGAGACTTATTATCCTATTTGTCAACTTTGAAATAAAAATGTTTGTCCTGGTAATTAGCCATGCATGGTTGACAGTTTTTTCAAGCTGCACTTAGGTGCAGACCTGGCTTTAATTGATGAACCAACTAGCACAGAAAACTTGCAGGAGCTGTAATGATGAGGCAGTTTAGCTTGCCAGGGTTACGGAAGGCCCAGCCATGTGTACAGCACAGAAAGAAGCAATCTTCTGAAGAACATGCAGTCTGGAACTACTTACCTTTTTAAAATTAAAAGAAATGTCAACACTCAAAACTTGCTTCATATCAAGAGAAATGAAACTTGTTAAAAAAGCCCTTTAAAGGTTGTATAGTGATATGGTATGCTGACTGAATAGTCAAAATCCAGGACTTTCCCCTGGAATACACATCCTTATTTTCCCAAGTAATCCCATGCACAGGGTGCAACCTTTAGCATTCTGATACATCTTTCCTTATGGCTGAAATTACTCAGACAATGATGGCTACGTAGGTATGCAGAGAATGGACTTTCTGCTCCACTATGCCCAAACTAAGCCTGTCAGAAGTTCATTTTATTAGTAATCCTAAATTCATGTCATTTACCTGTTTAACTCCTCTATAAAAATAGGTATTTTTCCCTTGAAAATACACTGACTTGGTGAGATGAGTCTCAGAATGAAGTCATTGCATCCCACCACCCATTGCATCTCATCAATTGGGTATTTAATTCAAGAAACCCTAACTTAAGGCATGCAAGAGAATGTTTGCTCAATTTGATGCCACTGTGTTTATCTAAAACATGCTGTTACACCAGGAGGGTGAGCCCACACCACTGAGGAGGGTAGCAGGAAGACCACACCTTCCTGAGCGTAGGTAAGCACGTGGGTCCTATTCTTAATACTCTGAAGATCTCCAGGATTCTTTATGCCGATCCCTCCGTATTCCCCCAGGGCCAGGTACCCATTTCCCAGCACACCACTGCTTGGGGATGGATGGGGTAGGAGTAAGGGGACAACTTGTGTAGCTGTAGCTGGAGGGAAGAGTTTAGAGCTGACCTTAAGGAAAAAACATCTGTGTGTGAGCACGTGTGTGTGTGTGTGTGTGTGTGTGTGTGTGTGTGTGTGTGTGTGTGTATGCATGTCTTTGAGCTCTTTGCCTTGCCTGAAAGACCCCTCTGTTGGAATCCTGATGGTGGCATTAGAAACAGGTTTCCCAACATTAGGTGGAAACTGGAAATCCATTAAGGTGTCACAATCTGGAAAAGAAAATTTTGAGTCGGCCCTAAAATTAGTGCTCTACATTAGTCATTCAGCGTCTCAGTCTAACATGGGCAATCCCCAGAGAAGGGCAAAAGCTAATCATTTCTTGATGGTTTATAACAATTTTAAATTAAAACATTTTGTCAAGGTCGTGCCCTAGAAAGGCTTTGCAAATATTATTCCAAGGAATTCCATTCTTAGTTCCCACTAATTGAGATCCCTGTGGTACCGAGCTGGCAGTGGGTACCAGTGGGCGCTTGAGAAATGAGTTGATGCTGCCAGTGTTCACTGAGTGGCACTTAGGCAATGAGAGATACCAGGTGGGGCCGACCCTCTGTGGGGTCCCAGCCCCCTGTGTGAGGTGCTTGGCTGTGCTCTGGGAAGTGGGAGCCCACTGGAGAACACAGCCATAACGTTGTAGGCCCAGCAGAGGAAGAACTGCTGTTGCTTTCACTGTGGGAATCGAATTAAGCCCTTCTACAGGGAAAAGGAAGTGAAAAACAAATGCACCCTGTGATAATCAGTTTCTTACAATAAATATGCTTTGATAGTGCTGGCTTAGTTGTTTTTAGCTGAAATCATTAGCTTCTATTTTTAGTATAACAACTACTGGCTAAATTAGTCTACAGTAAGCCATTAAGATGGATGTTGGAATTAAAAACATTTTTGGAAAAAAGCCTGGTTTGGGCCTTTATTAAGAGCCCTTGGGCAGGAATGGGGTCCTGTGTCAGCTGCTTGAATGCTGTCTCTGACCTTCAGGCATTTGGTCTTAGCAGCTTGCCCCTGAAACGGAAGCCCACAGGCCAACTTTTCTCCTTCCAGTCCACCCGCTGGGTTGAAGTAATACTTTCCTAACATGTTGAGAATGAATATCCCTACCTGGTTTGGCTTGGAGGCAACCAATTGATGTGTCTCTCTTATATCGATGTTTCTCTCTGTCTGTCTCTCCCCCTCCCTTCCACTCTCTCTAAAAATCAATGGAAACATATTCTCGAGTGAGGATTAACAAAACACACACAAAAACAAAACAAAACAAAACAAAACAAAAAATCCACACACACACACACACACACACACACACACACCCCCCAAAATAAATTAATTTTAAAAAGAAATAATATATTTTACCCTGAGAATTCATAAAGTATTCTGTATTTCTATCTTTTCCTTATTTAAAAAAATATATAAATAGGACACAATAGGCTACACAAACCTACAAAGCAAGGATGTGCTAGATCATGAGAATCAATTTTTAAAATTCTGGTTGTGAAACAGCATTCATTAAAAATTCTATAACTTGCAATTAAATTGCATTAAAAACAAAGGTAACATAAATTTCACCACTTTTCAATTACTTTACCTTATCATCTTTACTGTAGAGGTTACATATTTCTATTGGACTTACATGATGGAAATATATATATATATA